GATGCATGGATGGGACATTGGAAGGACCTGTGTTCTGGGAAGGTGCTGAGGCTCTGGCCCAGGTTTCCCAGAGCAGCTGTGGCTGCCCCTGGATCCCTGAAGTGCCCAAGGCCACGTTGGACATTGGAGCTTGGAGCCCCCTGGGCCTGTGGAAGGTGTCCCTGCCCTGGAGGGAGATGAGCTGTAAGGTCCCTTCCACCCCAAACCAGTCTGGGATTCCATGATCCCATGTCTGCTCGGATATGGTTAGCTGAGCTCCAGACCAGCTTCAAAGCTTTGGAGTGAACTCTGGTTCAGCTGCTTGGGTGATCTGTGAGTTTGGCATCAGGACAGGACCTTTGGGATCTGTAGGAATTTATTTGGCTTCCTGGGTCCTGCAGGATGAGACTGCCCCGAGTATCCAAAAGCTGTGGGGAAGCTGGGAGGTGCCAGCTGGGGCTGGTGCTGGGGAGGAAGGGAGAGGGTGGGACAGGGGGTGAGGCAGTGCAGGCCGTCCCCAGCTGGGACATTGTCCCAACTCCACATTCCCAGTGTCACTGGGTGCCTGGGGAGCTCTGAGCCGTGCCCTGCCATCCCCCTGTTCCCAGCAGAGCAGGGTGTGTGTGTGGCTGGGCACAGAGCTGGCACAGCCCCTGTGTGCCCAGTGCCTGCTCATTCCAGGGCACAGCGGTGCCAGGGAGGGCAGGAGCTCTCTGTGAGCAGCGATGTGTCCCCAAAGCCTCTCTGGGTTGGGATGGACCCACAGCACCCAAATCTTTTCAGGAGAGGCTGCCTGTCATCTGGCTGATCGGAGCTGCTAACGGATTGCTGCTCTAATTGCACTAGCAGTGTGACAGAGCATTCCTCAGGGATGGAGGGAGAGCTGTGGATTTATGGCACTTGGGGGAAAATTATTTGCAAGCTCAGTAAGTCTTTATTTTTCAGCTGTAACAGCTAAAGGTCGATTATTCCTTCAGTGAGCACAAAGGCTGGATGTGGCTGGGTGTTGTAGTGCCCAGAAAGAGGATTCAGTCTCCTCCTCCTCCCCAAAATGCTGGTATATCCCCCTTCAGCAGGAATGTTGTGTCACCCTTTCCACCTCAGCACATCTCCAGCAGCCTCACGTGCAAGAGCAGTCAGTGAGCAGGAGAATAAAAATGAGCAGAGCCGCTGTTCTCTCTGCTTTACCCTTCTCCCTGGTGGTTTTGGGATTGTTTTTAGCTAAGCTGAATTACATTAGTTGATGAGAGAGGGAGAAAATAAATAATAAATTGCACAAAAAATGAATTCACAGGAGCCCAAAGTATAAAGGCTGTGAAGTAAGCAACAAGTCTTTCATTGCCTTGAATAATGTAATTATCTGGAAAAGCCTGTTTCTTTCAAATTGCCAAATCTGGTGTCAGCTGAACTCACTGAAGCCCCACAAAGTTCCTCTGTCTCCCAGAGGGATTGGGGTTAGGTAAGGGTGGGATTGATGATTTGTCCTCAAATGTTACATATGTGAAACTGTGGGCACAGGTGATATCCCCAAATGACCAGGCTGCTGCTCTATGTAATGGGGAAAAAAAGAAGTTAAAGGGTATTTTTAGAGAATCCCAGAATCACCAAGACTGGAAAAGCCCTCCAAGAAAGAGCTGTGCCCAAAGCCTCCCCTTGTCCCCAGCCCAGAGCACTGAGTGCCACATCCAGTCCTGCCCTGGACACCTCCAGGGATGGGGACCCCCCCATTCCCTGGGCAGCCCTGCCAGTGTCTGACCTCCCTTCTGTGGTGGTGTTTGCAGGGGGTTTAGGATGAGGCAAGAGATGAGAATGTTGACTTTATGTTTTAGAAGGTCTGATTTATTATTTTGTGATATATATAATATTAAAATCATACTAAAAGAATAGAAGAAAGGATTTCATCAGAAGTCTAGCTAAGAATAGAAAAAGAATGAGAAAGGATTGTGGCTGACTGAGACAGTCTGGACAGCTGGGCTGTGATTGGCCATTAATTAGAAACAACCACATGAGACCAATCAAAGCTCTAGTTGTTGTATTTTAAAGCAGCAGACAATCACTGTTTACATTTTCTTTTTGAGGTTTTTTGACTTCTCAGGAGAAAAAATCTTAAGGAAATGATTTTTCAGAAAATAAGTCTGTGACACCCTTTCCATTAACAAATTCTCCCTTAAGGAACATCTTGGTGTACAAAAAGAGATCGGAAATGGCTTTCCTCTTTCTGTATCTCTCATTCCCTCTTGCAGTTTCAGCAAGTAGGAGCTGTCAGAGCAGAACTCACTGCTCTTGGTGCTGAGCAGACAGCAGTGTTTGTGTTGGATTGTTGGGCAATATTCTGTCAATATTCCACAATATTTCTGGCAATAATCCTGTCTCCAATCAAACATTTCAAACAGAACCCAAAATTCAGTACGAGTTTGGCTCCTTTTCTGCCCCTCTCGCTGCTATTTGCAGAAGGGTGCCTGGTTTTGAGTGTGATGCTGCAGCTCAGCGCCCTGTGAGTCACAGTCCTGGGGCTGCAGCTTCCAGATAAGGCACTGGCTGCCGGGAGAGCCTCGGGAGAGCGGGATCGTGCGGCTGGGATTGTACCAGTGCTGGCACTTGGCACACGGGCACCGCTCAGCCTGGCACCCAGAGCAGCCGGGGGTGGCCTGGCAGCAGCAGCTGCTCTGCCTCAGCCCGAGCTCTTCTGACAGCAGCAAATGAGGCACTGCTCAGCACACACCAGTGCAAACCAGTGTGGGCACTGGGTGCCCAGCACAGGGGTCTCATCCAGCTAAATCCCCTTGCTGAGCTGGGCTGGAGCACAGCAGACCTGAGTGAGCAAACTACCAGCAGTGCCCCAGGGGTGCCCAGCTGGGCAGGAGGTGCCTGGGCTGTGCCAGCCTCCTGTGACACAGCCCCAGGGCACTGCTGGGGCACCTCCCGGGCTGGGCTGGGGACAGCTCTGGGACAGGAGGGACCCTGAGGGGCTGGAGAGGGGCCAGGGAAGGGAATGGAGCCAGGCAGGGGCTGCAGAATCCCTGAGGGAGCCGGGCAGGGGCTGCAGAATCCCTGAGGGAGCTGGGAAGGGGCTCAGCCTGGAGCAAAGGAGGATCCAGAAGGGAAAAGCTCTGCAGAACCTTCCTCAAACTCCCCTCACTTCTTTTTCCCCTCACATTTTCTCCCACTTTTTGATTTTCCCCTCATGGCAGGAGAGGCCCTGAAGAGAACCCAGCTGGGGAAGAGGCTGGAGAATTCCTGCGGGAGCTGGGAAGGGCTTGGCCTAGAGAAAAAGAGGAGCCAGGAGGGAAAAGCTCTGCATCAAAGCCTTCCTCAGACTGCCCTCATTTCCTCCCCCCCTCATGTTTTCTCCCACTTTTTGATTTTCCCCTCACAGTGAGGGGCTGGAGCTGGGCCAGGGAAGGGAACAGAGCCGGGCAGGGGCTGCAGAATCCCTGAGGGAGCCGGGCAGGGGCTGCAGAATCCCTGAGGGAGCCGGGCAGGGCTCACCTGGAGCACAGGAGGATCCCCAGGGATCTTTTCCCTCTCTGGAATTCCCTGGCAGGAGGGCACAGCCGGGGGGGTCGGGCTCTGCTCCCAGGGAACAGGGACAGGAGCAGAGGGAACGGCCTCAGGCCGGCCCAGGGCAGCTCAGGGGGGGGCCCAGCAGGAATTTCCCCATGGAAAGGGGGCTCAGGGACTGAGAGGTGTCTGGGGGAGGCCTGGCCCAGTGCTGTGAGTTCCCTGCTCTCTGCTCCATCCCTGAGGAAGCAGAAGGAAGAGCAGGATGTGCAGCTTCCCAGCTGGGAAGAGCTGAGCTGCTGCCAGCTCCTGATGCCACTGCTCAGCCTGGGCATGCTGCGCTTGTTCCAGCTCAGGATCCTGAACTCTGCATCTTCCCAGCCTTTCCCAGCCCTTCCCAGCTCTCTCTGGGTGCGGGATGTCCCAGAAGGAATTTTCTGCTGTGTTTAAAATAACAGCTGGGGGTGAAGCTCCTGTTGGCAAATCCTGTTCTTGGCCTGGAGCAAATCTGCCTTTCCCTGAACGAGTATGGAGCAAGGAAAGAGCACAGGGTCACCAGTGGCTCTGAGCCAGCAGAATCCTGGTGGATGTGGAGTCACAGGGATGGCTGTGGATCCACAGGGATGGAGGTGGATTCACAGGGATGGACATGGATCCACAGCAATGGCCATATATTCACAGCAGTATTTAAGAATATGTGACTTTACATGGACAGTAAGAATATTGAATTCTACAGTGCCTGTGCTGCAGGATATAAATCAATGTAGGAAAAAAACCAAAGAATAAGGATATAATGCTGTAGAGTGGCTCTGTTGGAACGCACAGAGCCACAGATTGATCAGCAGTAAACATTCTCTGTTTTGCAAGGTTAAAGCTCTGTTTTTCCACTGGCCCCAGTGGGATGCTGGAGTCAGGCTGGTCTCTATAAAGAGAGGAGCCACTCCACTCTTCAGGGCTTACCAGGTATCTTGAAAAATGTCAAAAAAAGGCAAAAATCCAACTGTGGCTGCACCTTCTTTCCCCCTTGCAGGCAGATGCTCTCTGCTGCTGCCTGAACATGCTGCATTCATGTCATATCAATACAGAGCTCTTGAGCAGCTTTAATAATGTCATTTTTGCCACTTTTCCCCCCTGGAAGCCCAGAAGAAACCTCTGTGTGAATGGGAACAAAGCTCTTACACAACAGAGCATATTCGTGGGGAGGGATGATTCAAACCAAGCTTTATAATTCCTTAATTATATTTGATGTGACCTAACCCTTGACAATCCTGAGTCTGAGGCTGTCAAACAGGATGTGAATATTATAAAGACTTTTGGACAGTGCCCAGAGCTGAGCTGGATTTTTACCGTGTCAGTAAGAAAGTGAAGGAGAGAGGTTTTCTCAGCAGTTTTTTCTTTGTAAAAATCACTCCAAAAATACAAAGAAACCAATTACTTCTAAAGTATTTTCAAAATTTGACTGGGAGGGGGTTTGTGCTTGTTACCTCAGTGTTTTCTCAGTGAGCTGGCTTTCCTTTCAGGGCTCAGCAGATTCGTACACGAGCAGACCCTCAGACTCTGATGTGTCTCTGGAAGAGGACAGGGAAGCAATCCGCCAGGAAAGGGAGCAGCAAGCAGCCATCCAGCTGGAGAGGGCCAAGGTGTGTGCTGCTCACTGATCATGGAGGTGCCTTCTGCCTGCTGGTGACATCCACACTTCTGAAATGCTTGGGCAGTTCAGTCAGAGTATCTGCAGAGAAGGTGTTGGGAATTTGGTGTAAATCCTCCTCTAAATGGGGATGTTCTCCATGTTCTCCATGGGGATGTTTTTGAAAACCTTGGGTATTTATTTGTTCCTGTTTCTCATTTCCCAAAATAACAGGTGCTTGGTTGTTTGTCCCGTGTTCTGTTGGTCCTCACAAACCTCCTGGGAATACTGATAACAACAAATCCTCTCACAGCAGTGGTTTGTTCTCAGTGTGTGGAGCAATATCCGAGTATGAGCAGATATGGGAAGAACAGAATTATCACTGGGGGATATTTCCCCCATTTTGTGCAGTGATGATAAAAAACAACCAGTTTGGGGGAGCTCAGAGTGCTCCCAGAGCTGCTGGGATTGGCCCCACTGAATTCCCAGCCCCATCCCTGTGAATTCCCAGTGGGCAGCAAAGTCCTAGAAAGTCCTTGGGCTCCCTGGTTGATTACAGCAATTCAGTGTCACTCAGATATGACCTCAGCAGGTGACAGCAGGATGTCCTTTCTCTGGTATTGGGCTCTCAGCACGTCGAGTTTTTGGATTGCAAGGGCTCGGGGGAAGGAGTTGCCATTTGCAGCCTGCACAGCCCTTGGGAAATCTGGGCTTTTTCCCCCTGAGCTCTGCTGGCCTGGGTGAAACTATTAGGGCTGAATTTTTATGGATGAGAAGTTCCCAGTGTTTTTGATGGGTTTTTTCTGTTTGTAGTCCAAACCAGTAGCATTTGCTGTCAAGACCAACGTGAGTTACTGTGGGGCTCTGGATGAAGATGTTCCTGTCCCAAGCACTGCCATCTCCTTCGATGCCAAGGACTTCCTCCACATTAAAGAGGTAAAACCCAGGAAAAGGGGATGGGAAAGGGCTTTCTACAGGCCAAGGGCTTTGATTTGAACAGCTGAGCCTTATCCAGGAGGGCACAGTGAGGATGAGCTGGTTCTTCATCCCTCCTGGAGTTCCTGCACCCTGGGGTGCTTATCCTGCCCTCTTGCAACACTCGGTGTTACCAACGTGTTGGAATTTCATCACACAGGAAGGAAATAATGCCCTTTATTATTGGAGTGAGCTGGGATGAGGAAAGTTAATTAATGCACTGAGGAGAATAGCAGGAACTCCATCCCAGGGCTCAGGGAATAGGAAATACATCCCACCCTTTATTACAGTGGTGGGTTCAGATTCTTTTTATCAGAACCAGTTTGTGATGGATCAGCGATGGTGCAGGAGTAAAGGAATTCCATGGAGCAGCACCAGGTCATGCCAGGTCTTCAGAAAAACACCAGATAGGCTCCCTTCCAGAGAGGAAGTAACACTTAGGATAATGCAGTAAGCAAAGAAAATCCTGAAGAGGACAGATGCAAAAATAAGGGGAAAAATGGAATAAATGAGCCCTGAGTGTGGGCTTTGGTAGAGAAAATTGCATTTTATTGCATGCTGAGCATATTTTATGCAATTTTTTATCTGAAGTGAGCCCTCCACATTTGCATAACCCCCTGTTGTGCTGTGGATTGGTACAGAGGCTTGCAGCTCGCAAAAGCACTTTTTCATCTCTGCATTTTGGGTTTATTTTGGGGTGTTCAGTGCTCATCTGTGTCTTTCTTTGAACACGTGTTTATCATCACTCCAGAGCACTGATCTCCCTTAGACAGAGCGCATTCAGGAGGAAAACACCTGCTGCTGCCCCTCCTCTGGTGCTGGAGCAGGGAATTGCTTCACACCCCCTCTCCCTGACAGGGAAAGGCAGTAAATTCCCTTTTCCAGCTTTTAATCTTGCTTTTCCTGGACGTGGCCACCTTTATTGTCAGGGCACTGATTGAGTTGCACACTCCAAGCTCCTGTCATGCTGCTCTGTACATTTTTGCAGACAAGTGTCCCAAATCCATGCCTTGGCATTCCATGAGTTGTCTCCCAAGGTCTAAAATGCCAGGATCACACTGCCACTGAGCTGGAAACCATCTGGGTGCTGGTGTTTGTCAGCTCAGCCTGCCTGGAGCTGGAGCTCAGCAGGATTTGGGGAATGGCTCCCCATGCTGCAGAGAGGCTTGGCAGGATTTGTTTTTTCAGTGATTCCAGGGTTTGGAATGTTGCTGAGCTGGGTACAGAGTCAGGTCACCCTCTGGCAGTGAGTGAGGAGCTGCTATTTTCAGGCTGTGTCCTGTATGTCTCATCTGTCTCCTCCAAACTATGCATTGTGTGCCTGCCTAAAGGATGAAATGGCAACAATTCCTGGCAGAGCAGAAGGAACCATGGGCATGGCAACCAGGGGAGGGAACGTGCTCCTCCCACACACAGACTAACAGAGGGGAGGGGATGACCTAATGCAGATAAATCCTGAGTTCCTCACTGCAGCCTTGGCATTTGTGTGTTCAGGTGCTCTCAGCACAACCCAGACTGCTTTGGGATGGAAGGGACCTTGAATGGGCAGGGACATTTCCCCTGTCCCAGGTGCTCCAAGCCTGGCCTTGGGCACTGCCAGGGATCCAGGGGCAGCCCCAGCTGCTCTGGGCACCTGTGCCAGGGCCTGCCCACCCTCGCAGGCAGGAATTCCTCCCCAGAATCCCATCCATCCCTGCCCTCTGGCACTGGGAGCCATTCCCTGTGTGCTGTCCCTCCATCCCTTGTCCCAAGTCCCTCTCCAGAGGGGCTGATTCTGATCCCATGTCTGGAGGCATCACTCAGAGGTCCATGAAGAAAAATTCCCATGGTCAGGCTGTGCCTTTGGAGCCAAAATGGAGCAGGCAGTGCCCTTGGAACTCAGGTTCTGTAGAGATTGGTTTTATAGAGTCAGACTGGTTTAGATTGGAAGGGACCTTAAAGCCCACCCAGTGCCACCCCTGCCCTGGGCAGGGACACTCTCACTGTCCCAGGGTGCTCCAAGCCCTGTCCAGCCTGGCCTGGGACACTGCCAGGTCTGTCCCTAATGGTGTCCCACAGCCTCTCAGTTCACTGATTTCCAGCAGCAGGATGCTGAATGCTGAAAGATTTGTCTGGTTCAAGACTGGAAGTAGTTCTGTAACTTAACATACTTCAAATAAAGCTTTGCTCACTGCCACTGTGTGAATCAAGGTCAGAACAGCAGGAGCAATAAATACTTAGTTGGAATGATCAAACCATGGAACCTCTTGCCTAAATATATAAAAGAGGATAAAGAGGTTTTTCAACTTTGCATTCCGTTAGTTTTTATTACATGTTCATATATATGATTGAGTTCATGTTCAGATATCTGGGTTGATAAAAACCCATTTATTTTTCAGGGCTGGGTCTCTGTGTTGCAGAGCCATCCCCAGGCACTGCTGCACCTTTGACAGCAGGGCCTGGGTGTTTCTGTGTCCCTGCAGTGGCTGAAGTGCCTGCAAATGTGGAGCCAGGAGTAGGGATATCTCGAAGATGAGGTCTCTGTGATGGCTTTTTCCTCGAGGCAGCAAACAAACCCCATTCACTCGTGCTGCTCCTAATGACTCCAGAGCCAGTTGTGAAAAGCAATGTTTCTTTTGAACACCGAGCTGCCTAATGAAGCAGAACAGAGGAGAGGCTTTTCAGATACTTTTCTTCAAAAGCTCTGCTGGCAGCAGCTACAACAAATCCTTTTCCACTCCAATATCTACCAGGATCCTGCTTTTCATTTTGCTATCATTAGGGACAGACCAGACTTTCAATAAAGCAGAAGAATTTATGTTACTAAAGGTCAATGATAAAATGCTGTGCTTTAGGTATATATTGGAGTTTCTTCCTAAAGGTGAATTTCTCTTCATCTGTCATAACCTGTTAATAACATTCCTACAAATACCTGGAGAGGAGGAAGGGAAAGTGGTGATCTTTTGTCTAGACCATTAAATGTGACAAGCAATATTTGATGGGAAGCTGGAGGTGTTATTTTTATGTTTGCTGCTGGGAGGTTGTTTGGTGGCCTCAGCCCAAAGAAATGAGTTCTGCTCATTAAATCAACCTTGAAATTAAATCAGCAAGGGCCAGGACAAGGGGAAACAGCCTCGGTGCGCTGCTCTCACACTTGAGCCTGGTTCATTATGCAGAGTGGAGTTAAGGAGTGTGGGTAACTGTTGGGGAGGATGAAAACTGGACAAGAAAGTCTCACAGATATGTGTGCTTGGCAGAAAGATCTCTGAATGTAGAACCTGAGAACGAAATAGAGATGGAAGCAAGTTTTGATACAGAAGAATAACAGATGTGTAAATTGAGGATTGCTGAGCCTGTCTTGCTGGACAGCTAAGAAGGGAAAGGTTGTGTCAAGTTGGAAAGAGCCTTTGATAAGCTGACCACAAACAAAAAGATGTTTTTACCAAGCAGAAAGATGCCACAGGCAAACAAGACATGTCAATGTGGCAAGTAGAAAAAAGGTCTTAAGAATTTTCCACTGCAAGAAAACTGAAAAACAACTTTAAGCTTAAACTGTGCCATACTAACTCATGTGATTGATAGTACTGACCATAATATGGTAATGACAGTGTTCACGATAGGCTGTAGGTAAAAGTTAAGGTATAGATTGGTTTTTATGTATTAAGATGCTCAGCAAAGAAAAGGGTATAATGCAATGGAGCCAAAATTAAAGGGTTTTCAGGCTTGGCTGCAGCTGGGGCTGACAGGCTCTGTCCCCCATGACCCTGGGCTGCTGTAACAGCTGTAACAGTTGGTTACCTCCAGGAGGAGGTGACAAGGGAGGGAACTGGGGAGCTGAGTGGGCAGGAGCCTTGCTGTGTTGCAGAAATACAACAACGACTGGTGGATAGGGAGGCTGGTGAAGGAGGGCTGCGAGATCGGCTTCATCCCGAGCCCGCTGCGCCTGGAGAACATCCGCATCCAGCAGGAGCAGAAGAGGGGCCGCTTCCACGGGGGGTGAGCACAGCCTGCCCTTGCAGGGCACCCCAGATCCTCCCTCAGCCCAGGAGTACTGCCAAAGGTCACTGCTGCTGCCTGGCTGCGGGGCATTCGCAGCGCTGGGTTTGGGATCCCCGCTGCAAGTGCGGATTTGAGGGGAGCGGGAGATGTTGGTGATGAGAAACAAAATGGGTTTGACTTCAGGAAAGAGCAGTGAGGGATAATGACAGCAGTTTCTGAGAGCTTTGTGTGCCCATGGCCTTAAGTCAACTTGGGCTCAAAGTCTCCCAGATTTTTCCCAGCTTTTCTTCTTTTTTCTTCCATTTTTCCTTTTTTCTCCATTTTGGCCTATGGTGATGTTCACAGGGGTCCCAGGATGAGGGGAGAGATGAGAATGTTGACTCCACATTTCAGAAGGCTGATTGATTATTTTATTATATATATTATATTAAAAGAAAATGATATATTAAAACTATACTAAAAGAATAGGAGGAAGGATTTCATCAGAAGGCTAGAATGGAAAAGAATGGAATGATAATAAAATCTTGTGACTGACCAGAGAGTCCGAGCCAGCTGACTGTGATTGGCCATTAATTAGAAACAACCACATGAGACCAATCCCAGATGCACCTGTTGCATCCCACAGCAGCAGATAACCATTGTTTGCATTTTGTTCCTGAGGCTTCTCAGGAGAAAAAAACCTAAGGAAAGGATTTTTCAGAAAATATCATGGCTACTTTGGCACAAACCAGACATTGTAAGATCAGCTTTGCCATCCTTTATTCTTCAGCTTCCAGCCTGAGGTTTTTGAGTGCCCACCTGCCAGACCTGGAGATTGCAAATCCCTGGAAAAAGGTCTGGGATTTAAACCTGGGAAATGCTTTCAGAATAGTTGAACAGCAGCCAAATTTCTCCTATGATTTTTGACACAACTTCAGGGGCAGCCAGTGGGTCTCAATATACAGAGAAATTACTGAGTTCAGTGAGATGCTCCTGGATTTGTATGATAAAATTCCATATTATAATGATAAAACAGTTAATATTTAGCTTTTCTAGTTAGAGTCATTTATGTTGGTATGACCTTGTGATTCCTCATGGGACAATTGCTCCCCAAAACCTCCCACATTTTGGGGTGCCTGCTGTTAATGGGGTCTTTCTGCTGCTGCAGGAAATCCAGTGGGAATTCTTCTTCCAGCCTTGGAGAGATGGTCTCTGGCACATTTCGAGCCACACCTACAGCCACAGGTAAGGCAGGATTTATTCAAGGAAACCCTTACTAATAATTCTGTCTAAAAACCCTACATGAGAAATGCAGGTTATCCCCTTTGCTGAGTTACTGAGGTGTTTTCTAACAAAGTGTTTGTGTGCACAGGGGAGGAGAACAACCATTCCCAGCCTGCAGGAGTTGCTGAGGGCTGGGAAAAATCCTTGGGAACATTGGCAGCTGCCCCAGTGTAATGCACAGATTGTCCAGTTTAATGTATAGAATGCCCAGTTTAATGCATGGATTGCCCAGTTTAATGCACAGATCGCCCAGTTTAATGCACAGATCGCCCAGTTTAATATATAGAATGCCCAGTTTAATATATGTAATGCCCACTTCAATGCAGAATGCCCAGTTAAATGCACAGATTGTCCAGTTTAGTGTATAGAATGCCCAGTTTAATATATATAATGCCCAGTTTAATACATATAATGCCCAGTTTAATGCAGAATGCCCAGTTTAATGCACAGATTTCCCACCTTAATGTAAAGAATGCCCAGTTTACTGCCCAGATTGCCCAGTTTAACATATATAATGCCCAGTTAAATGCACAGATTTCCCAGTGTAACGTATAGAATAGCCAGTTAAATGCACAGATTTCCCAGTTTAGTCAGGCCTGAGCAGAGGGAGGTGCTCAGACAGAAATCAAAGTGCTTTGGCAAAGGGATTTCTGCTTGCCTGGGTGTGTTTTAACCAAGTTCTCATTTGGTCTTCTAGCAAAACAGAAACAAAAAGTGGTAAGTAATGCTTTTGTTTGCATTTTATTTCCTCCTAATTCATCATTGCCAGGATTTCCCTGTGGATTTGTTTGCCTGATGATCTGAAGGGTTGTTGTTTTTTCCCTCTAGACAGAACATATTCCCCCCTATGATGTGGTGCCATCAATGAGACCTGTGGTGTTGGTGGGCCCATCCCTCAAAGGCTATGAGGTATGGACTGAGGTGTTTGCAATTAATTCAACTTCCATTATCTCTGATCATCCTCAGTAATTCTGTGTGTGGCTCAGTGCAACTGGTTTATGATAATTTCAAGTGATTTAGCTTAAATAATTACCAAAATGTTCTGTAAGAGCTGAGGGTTACTTCTGACTTGTACTGTTTTAAGCACGGTGCAAGTCCATTCTTTTCAGTGCACTCATTCCTGATTAAATCAAGTAAAAAAGAGAATTTGTGTCTGCTACAAGAAGTCAAATTAATGAGCTGGACTCTACACATGAAAAATGTTCATCAAACCAGCCCATGCTTTGAACTTAATTAGCAAAACATTTGAAGGAGCTTCCTTGTTGTTCTCCTTTTTTCACTTTATTAATAAATTCAGATATTTTGCAAAGGAACCTTTAACCCTCCTAAAAGATTGCCCAGGTGGGAGTGGGCAGGATAACGTGCCCAGATAACCAGCACAGCCTTTTTTGGGCTGCTGCAGGTCCAAGTGAGCATTTCCCTCGTGCTAAAACAAGCAGAGACTTTAGCAGGGCAATTCAGGGAGCTCAGCCATCTGGGAAGTGCTGAACCAGGAGCTAAATGAACATAAAATCAAAGATACACTTCATTAAGCTTAATTAATGTTGTCAGTAATTGATAGGATATTATTAAACATATTGGAATGGTTCTTTTGGGGAGGTGGCAGCCCTGGCATATTGCAGTGTTCTGGCTTTGTTTTTGTGTGAGAGTGGCTGGAGGTGCAGCTCAGCAGAGCAGGTACTTCATGTTCTGCTCTCTGCCTTTTCACTTGATGGGGAAGTTTTCTGACAGGAGTAAATTCCCTCTGTGCTGCACCACAGATCAGTTTACCTCTCGAGTTTGGAGGGGAGAGAGGCTGTTTGTTCACAAAAACCTCTTCAAATCTGCCACCCTGTCTCTTTTTTTCAAGAAAACAACACCAAACACAACACCTTGAACATACAGATGTGTGGAAATGGTAACACAGAATATTAATTTCAGTAACAAAAATACTTGATCTTTCTTGGGGGAATTTATTTTGGCTGTTTTTTCCTGGCTAAATGCTGAAGGAATCAGTTGGAAGGAGGGAAATAAACTGGCAGAGAGGCCTGGGGGCTTTGATGGAGCTGCTGCCTGGCCTGGCAGATGATAATTGTCAGCCTGAGCTGTCCTGCAAAGGACAAGGAGCTGCTCAATAAATCAGAGGAAACTCCAGGGATTTACTGCTGAGCGCTGTGGTGGCAGGATGTGGCACTAGGATGGTTCTGCCCAGCAAGGGTGTGGATTGTTGGCTGTGTCCCTGCCTTCTACTCACCTCTTTCCTTCCTTTTGGCTTCTTTCTCTCCCTGTCCATCCCCCTGCTCAATCTGCTCCCCTCTGCCAAGGTGACAGACATGATGCAGAAAGCTCTCTTTGACTTCCTGAAGCACAGGTTTGATGGGAGGTGAGAAACTCTGTCCTTCTCATGCTGCTTTGCCCATGTGTTACTAACATTTCAGTCAATTATTTTATTTTTTTTAATGCCAGAGGGTTTGCTGCACGATCAAAGCTGATTTTCTGGCTTTGTGTCACCACTGAAGAGTGGGACACAGCTCATGTGTTACTAGGGGTGCACATGTCTGCATTTCTGCCATGGCTGGGCTAGGATTTCTTAGTTCAACACAAGAATTCTGTCTCGGTGTCTTCCCAACACCTCAGAAAAATCAGCTCTAAAATATTCCTTATATGAGATTTTATTTTGACTGCCTTAAGTAGGCAAAAATACTGAAAAGGGTGGTTGGAAGAAGGAAATGCTGAGAAATAAAGCCCAGAAAAAGAATTGTAGGGAGGGTTCATCTTGAGCTGGAGCATTTCCTGGTGAGCTGTAGGGGATAATTGGGATTCCCTTGCTGGGAGCACAGGTTTGGTCATGGCATCCCCTCAGTCCTTGGAGGTGCCTGCAGCATCTTTGGGGTGTTCTGCCCTTCCCAGTCAGTTCAGATATTCCAGCTGGGAAAAGAGCTTCTGGTAACACATCACACCAAGTCAGGTTTGAAGTACCCAAAGCACCAGGGCAGGGGAAGGGATGTTCTGTGGAAGAGCTGGAGCAGGATTGATGGATTTTAGGAGTGAGGAGGGCAGTGCTGAACTGGTCCCTGAACAGCTCAGAGAGAACTTTAATGATCAACCTCTGTGCAAAGTCTCTCCTCTCCTGGCCTGTCCTGAGCTGCTCAGCTCAAGTGATTTTGTGGAAGTGCTGATTCCATCAGCAGTATTGGCAGCTGGATCAAGTGGGAGTGTGAAATTTCAGCAGAGGAGAGCTCAGTGCCACCAGCAGCCTGGCACCATTGATTTTAGCTCTGAGGAACTCAGGAAAAAGCTGCTTCTTGGTCCTTCTGCCAACTTCTATGGCTTTGTGGTCTTCCCCCTCCCTCCCTTTTCTTTCTTCTTTCTTTCTTTCCATCTCCTCTGCAGTTCTGGGGGAGGTCCACATTACCAAGGAAGGAGCTGAGTGTCCAAGGAAGAGCCTTTCCACAGGCATCAGAGAGCCCTGACTCCTTCCCTGGCCCTGAATTCCCTTGGCTTTGCCAGCTCCTTCCTTTGTAACTGCAGCCTGCCCTGCTGGCCACTGAGTCCAGACCCACAGTCCATTCATTTCTGTTTTAAACTCATTTTTACCTTTGGCCTCCACTGTGTGCATTTATTTATGTATTATACAGAAAAATAACTGCACTTCTTTATAACCCTGCAGCTGAAAACTCCACTTAGAGCTGCATAAATCTTAGGTTCTGTGCAAAAGCTGCTGGTCATTCCCAGCTTGCTTTGTTTCTATTTTCCTGGCTCCTTGACTCATCCCAGGCCTCCTAATTGGATTTTAGATGAAGGGATTGTGTTGTCTTTGCTTTGTAACATTTTGTGTCTTTCTCACTCACTGACAGATGAAGTAAATAAATCCCCTGCCTTAAGTTAAAGAGGTGCAGTGAAGTTAAACTTGAGTTCAGGCAGCCCAGAGAGCTCCAGTTCCTTTTCTCCTGCTGATGCCAGCCCCTGGCAGCTGGGCTGGGTTTACTCCTGGTGTAACTCTGGGGAAGAGGAAGTGCTGCCTCACTGCAGCTCCCTTGTTCTGGGTGCCCCAAGCCTCACATAACTCCCAGCATTGATGGCACTGTGGAAATTCATGCAGGAGATGAGTGAGCTGGGAGGAGGAAAGTTCATTAATGCACTGAGGAGAATGGCAGGAGCTCCATCCCAGGGCTCAGGGAATAGGAAACACATCCCAGTCCCCCAGCACTTGTGTTCATTTGTTCTTTAATGGTGCCAGAACTCACCTGGAAACGTGCCTGAGCGTGTTTGGTTGTGTTTGCCCTTTGGAATGGGCTGTGCCTGTGGAAATGCCACTCGTGTGTTTGTGTGTGCTGTGCTCTCCTGGCAGGATATCCATCACCAGGGTGACAGCTGACATCTCCCTGGCCAAGAGGTCAGTGCTCAATAACCCCAGCAAGAGAGCCATCATCGAGCGCTCCAACACCAGGTCCAGCCTCGGTAAGGCCCTGCCACGGCTGGGACTGGGCTGGGCTGGCACACAGGGGGCAGGACAGCATGCCAGCCTTCCAGTCTGAGCTGGGAGGGACCCACAGCACCATGGATCAGCTGCTGGCCCTCACAGACACCCCAAAACCCCACCCTGGCACCCCTGAGCGCTCTCCAACTCTCCTGGAGCTCTTGGGAGCGTGCAGTGCCCAGCACCCTCTGGGGAAGAGCCTTGCCCTGAAATCCAGCTGACCCTGCCCTGGCTCAGCTCCAGCAGAGGTGCAGGTTTAAATGTGTCTGCAGCATTTTACTGCACAATCCTGAGCTGGCCTCTCAGCTCCTCCTCCTTCCCAGCCCTCTGCTTTTAATTCCACATCACAAGCAGCCAAAGAGCTTTCACTTGTCCAGCCAAGGAAATGTCATTCCTGACCCTGGGACCAGTTGTGTGTTTAATTTTGAGCAGTCACAGCTGAATTTTGCTGTCTGGCTGTGAGGCTTTGGGTCCTGCTCCTCTCCTCAGTGAGCAGTTCTCCTCAGGACTGCTGGGGAACAGTAGCCTGAGGAATTTTTATTTGGACTCCATGATCCTGGAGGTCTCTTCCAGCCTTGATGGTTCTGTGATTGTGTGATTCTTTCTTGTACAAGGGTGGAAATTTGTGTGTGTCACGTGCATTCCAACATCCTGCTCTCTGGGACACCTTCCCAGGATCTAGGAGGAGTTGGGTTTGGTAAACAAAAAGCCCAAATTCCAAATCTCTGCCATCCTGAGTGAGTGCTTGCCCTAGAGGTACAGGTAACAGGTTATTTCATGAGTCTGTGACAGTAAGAGGGTGAGGGTTTTTATGCCAGTGGTTTCAGCTGCTTTGTTTTCCTTTGCAGCTGAAGTGCAGAGTGAGATTGAAAGAATCTTTGAGCTGGCCAGGTCCTTACAGCTGGTTGTCCTGGATGCAGACACTATAAATCACCCTGCACAGCTTATCAAGACATCTCTAGCACCAATTATTGTCCATGTGAAGGTGTCCTCTCCAAAGGTAATTCCTCACCTGAAGATCCAGGAGGGAGCTGGAGGGCAGGGTGGGAATGGACAGTGTGGAATCTGCACCTGAAAAGGAGAAAAAGTGACATAAAGCACTGCTGGTGTGCTACAGTCCATCCAGCAATCCAGATAATTCTCTATAAATACAATTTTCATGCTTCTCTATTGTCACAAATAACTTAGGACTTAAAGTGGGATAAAGCAGAAATGCAATTGAAGTTTTTCAAGGGCTCAAACATGATCCAGAGGGAAACGTTCCCAGTTCTCAGAAGGGTTATCACAAAGGTTTGGGATATTCAAGGGCAGCGTTTTATGGAGAGCTTCTGCCCTTGGTAATCCCTCAGGGGGATGTCAGGCTGAGCTCTAGGGAGATCAGTGATCCTTAAATTCACCTTCTGCCCTTTCCTGCTGGCAGGTCCTGCAGCGACTGATCAAGTCCAGGGGGAAGTCACAGAGCAAACACCTCAACGTCCAGTTGGTGGCAGCTGATAAACTTGCACAATGCCCCCCAGTAAGTACAGAGCAGAGGCTGAAGGGCTGCTGCTTGGTGGAATTCTGCTGATCCCTGTGCAGAGCTGGCTCCCTCCATTATCACAGCCGTGCACTCGTGAGGCACAAAGGGTGCAGACTTTCATCCTGCCTATCTCCTGCCCTGGCTTGTTTTGGTCTTTGGCAGGGTGACAGGGCAGGAGTGACGTGGAGGGGACAACAAATCTGCTCGTTAGCAAATTACATCATCTGTGGAGCTGCAGCTCCCAGAGGGACAAAGTCTGGCTTTGGAGAGGCTCCCCTCCCTGCACAGGAGTGTGTGGAAAGGGAAAGGGGAGGGAGCAGGAATGTGAGCCCTGCTCCTGACCCTGCAGGCCATCCAGTCCCCTCAGCAGAGCGCAGCCACTGCTGTGCCAGCTCCTGATCAGAGCTCCTGCCCCTCTCCTGGAGTGCTGAATTCATTCCTGCTGATGGAGCAGAGCCTGCAGGGCTCATGGCAGGGCTGGGGGAGAGGCTCTGCAGGGGCTTGGACAAAGCAGCTCAAACTTTTAGTTTTGAAAGGCACACCTGGTTTCTGGGACAGAGGCAGTGGAAATGGGCTTGGATATGGCTTTCTGTGGGATCTCTGTGGGATAATGGGATGGGAGAGCAGAGGTACCAGGGCAGTGACAGCCCCTCTGGGCAGCCTGTTCTTCTGCAGAGCTCAGCTGGGTTACATTTCTTACTTGGAATTTTTTACTGAGTTGTGATCTTTTAAAATGCTGCTGGGTTACTCCTGTGAGCCATCCAGGTCCCACTAACCCAGCCAGAACTGGAACTGTCCTAGAGAGCAAACTGATCCTGTAAAACACATCCCTTCCCAGCTCCTGATCCCTGTAACACACATCCCTTCCCAATCCTGATCCCTGGAACACACATCCCAATCCTGATCCCTGTAACACCCATCCCAATCCTGATCCCTGTAACACACATCCCTTCCCAATCCTGATCCCTGGAACACACATCCCAATCCTGATCCCTGTAACACACATCCCTTCCCAATCCTGATCCCTGTAACACACATCCCAATCCTGATCCCTGTAACACACATCCCTTCCCAGCTCCTGATCCCTGGAACACACATCCCTTCCCAATCCTGATCCCTGGAACACACATCCCAATCCTGATCCCTGTAACACACATCCCTTCCCAATCCTGATCCCTGGAACACACATCCCAATCCTGATCCCTGTAACACACATCCCTTCCCAATCCTGATCCCTGGAACACACATCCCAATCCTGATCCCTGTAACACACATCCCTTCCCAATCCTGATCCCTGGAACACACATCCCTTCCCAGCTCCTGATCCCTGTAACACACATCCCTTCCCAATCCTGATCCCTGGAACACACATCCCAGCTCCTGATCCCTGTAACACACATCCCAATCCTGATCCCTGTAACACACATCCCTTCCCAATCCTGATCCCTGTAACACACATCCCAATCCTGATCCCTGTAACACACATCCCTTCCCAGCTCCTGATCCCTGGAACACACATCCCTTCCCAATCCTGATCCCTGGAACACACATCCCAATCCTGATCCCTGTAACACACATCCCTTCCCAGCTCCTGATCCCTGGAACACACATCCCTTCCCAATCCTGATCCCTGGAACACACATCCCAATCCTGATCCCTGTAACACACATCCCTTCCCAATCCTGATCCCTGGAACACACATCCCAATCCTGATCCCTGTAACACCCATCCCAATCCTGATCCCTGTAACACACATCCCTTCCCAATCCTGATCCCTGGAACACACATCCCAATCCTGATCCCTGTAACACACATCCCTTCCCAGCTCCTGATCCCTGGAACACACATCCCTTCCCAATCCTGATCCCTGGAACACACATCCCAATCCTGATCCCTGTAACACACATCCCTTCCCAATCCTGATCCCTGGAACACACATCCCTTCCCAATCCTGATCCCTGGAACACACATCCCAATCCTGATCCCTGTAACACACATCCCTTCCCAATCCTGATCCCTGGAACACACATCCCTTCCCAGCTCCTGATCCCTGTAACACACATCCCTTCCCAATCCTGATCCCTGGAACACACATCCCAGCTCCTGATCCCTGTAACACACATCCCAATCCTGATCCCTGTAACACACATCCCTTCCCAGCTCCTGATCCCTGTAACACACATCCCTTCCCAATCCTGATCCCTGTAACACACATCCCAGTCCTGATCCCTGTAACACACATTCCTTCCCAATCCTGATCCCTGGAACACACATCCCTTCCCAATCCTGATCCCTGGAACACACATCCCAATCCTGATCCCTGTAACACACATCCCAATCCTGATCCCTGGAACACACATCCCTTCCCAATCCTGATCCCTGGAACACACATCCCAATCCTGATCCCTGGAACACACATCCCTTCCCAATCCTGATCCCTGTAACACACATCCCAATCCTGATCCCTGGAACACACATCCCTTCCCAATCCTGATCCCTGGAACACACATCCCAATCCTGATCCCTGTAACACACATCCCTTCCCAATCCTGATCCCTGGAACACACATCCCTTCCCAAGCTGAGCTTTGGAACTGGAGTGCAGCTGCCCCTGTCTGTGGTGTTTGCCCTGAGCTCACACACAGAAGAGCCCTCTGCACATTGTCCTGTGTGAAAGGTGTTTCCTCTGGCTCCTGCGCACAGAACCCTGGGAGTTTCACAGCCTTTTTTTGCCCTTTCTTCAGTGATTTCCTCTCGCTCAGCTTCACTTTGCTCACATCAGCTGAAATGAGAGAAGTCACCAGAGCAGCTGTGGCTGCCCCATCCCCTGGAAGTGTCCCTGGACAGGGCTTGAGGCACCCTGGGACAATGGAAGGTATCCCTGCCCATGGCAGGGGGTGGATGAGATGTTTTTAGGTCCCTTCCAACTCGTGGGATTCCTAAATTCCATTACATAATCCATGTGGGGTGCACTGGGGCACTGGGATTGTCCATGCCCAGATTACTGAACTCTGCCTCAGCACCAGGCCTGGAATTGCACTGCAGTGCTGGAGGCCTCACCTGGCCCAGAAAAGCCTCTCCAAATGTCAGTGCCCGGTTCCAGCCCTGAGCCCAGCCCTGCTCCAGGCTGTCTGCACCCTGCCCTGCCCAGGAGCTGCTCACACAGAGCTCAGCACTGTGCACTGGTGCTGGGCAGGAAATGGGTGCAGTGCTGACTTGAGCTGTCCCAGGGAGCTGACAGTCTGGCCTGGCTTGAAATTAAACTTGGCCCATGGTTTAATTAAGCAAAAGTTCATTGCTAAGAGCAAAGGCACTGCTCCCTCTCTTGCTCATCCCTTCTGCAGCTCAGATTCCTGCAAGAGGAGAATTTGGAGTGTTGGTTTAAAGGGAAGGTCCTTGCTCAGGATGCACTCCTCACTCTGTTCCTCTGCTGAGAGCCAGCCATAAGGAATGAGCTGGGGCTGCATGTCTAGACACTGTAAAAATAGCTGGGCATATTTGAGCTCAGGAACTGCTTTCATTATTAATTCCTTGCTAATCTGCCCCTGATGCTGCTCCAGCCAGCCTTGGGCACTGCAGGGCACAGGAATATTGCAGGACAGCAGGAATATTGCAGGGCACAGGAATATTGCAGGGCACAGGAATATTGCAGGGCAGCAGGAATATTGCAGGGCACAGGAATATTGCAGGACAGCAGGAATATTGCAGGGCACAGGAACATTGCAGGGCACCAGGAACATTGCAGGACAGCAGGAACATTGCAGGGCACCAGGAACATTGCAGGGCACAGGAATATTGCAGGGCACAGGAATATTGCAGGACAGCAGGAATGTTGCAGGGCACAGGAACATTGCAGGGCACCAGGAACATTGCAGGGCACAGGAACATTGCAGTGTTTAATTTAAATCTTTTCCAAAGCAAAATAGACATAAGCAAACCACATTTTTTAAAATTTCTAATTTAACTGTGTTTTAATTGATAACTTCTTCCACAAGTGAGTGATGGACTGGAATGTGTGGTGCATCAGCATGTGGGTAAATAGCAAAAGAGTAAAAGCAGTAAATAAAGAGAGGAGCAAAAGAAGAGCAATAAACAGTGAACTGCACCAGGGGATGCAGTGTTAGGAATATTCTGATTAGAAGGAAACTCCTCCTTGCTGGCAGAGGAGGAAACTTTTCTCTGCCGCGCTGGGAAGAGAGAATAAATGAAAAAATGAAGAAAAACTGCTTAATCATTTTAAATCTTATTCTGAGAGCTGCAAAAACAGGTGGAAGAGAGCAGCCTGTGGCTGATGCTGGTTGCCCTTTACACCCACAGCACCTGCACTTATTTTCCATTTCCTGTGCTGTTCTCACAGTATTTTGCAAAGTTAAGATTAGAGATGAGATAGGAAGTTGAACTGCTGAAAATAGGGTTGTGTTTCTCTCGAGGGGCTCTGCTGGTTCTGGCAGGCTGGAGGACAGGCAGGGATGGGGGTGGTTTCAGCCAGCACATGGAGGAGGTGTCTGGAGAGTTCCCTGAGGCAGGAATGCTGCTGCTGTCAGGACTGCCTGCTGCCTCCTCTGCTGGGGGAATGGCTTTGGGGGCATCAGCACTGGAAATGAATAAATAAACTGAAGAGTTTTGTGCCCAGGAGCAAAACAGGGCTCTTGCAACACCCAGGGACAGTGCCAGGGCTCGTGCAACACCCGGGGAGACAACTCCTGAGGGCTTTGGCTCTTGGTCACCTTCTAGAAATACCTGTACCATTTTCTGTACTAGAAAATGGAATGGTTTGGGGTGGAATGGACCTCAAACCTCATCCAGTTCCACCCCTGCCATGGGCAGGGACACCTCCCACTGTCCCAGGTGCTCCAAGCCCTGTCCAGCCTGGCCTTGGGCACTGCCAGGGATCCAGGGGCAGCCCCGGCAGGTCAGGGCTCACCTCCCTCCCCAGGCAGGAATTCCTCTGCAGTGTCCCCTCCCTCCCTGCTGTGTTCCAGTGTGCCATCCATGCCCCCTGTCCCTCCCTGCTGTGTTCCAGTGTGCCATCCATGTCCCCTGTCCCTCCCTGCTGTTACAGGAACCCCGCTCCATGCCTCCAGCTCCCTGCCCTCTGCCCTGCCCTGATTCCCCTTCACTGACCAGCTCCAAGGCTGGCTGTGATGGGCAGTGTGTGCCACCCCACCCCCAGTGTGTGCCCCCACCCCCAGTGTGTGCCACCACCCCCAGTGTGTGCCCCCACCCCCAGTGTGTGCCACCACCCCCAGTGTGTGCCACCCCAGTGTGTGCCGCCCCGGTGTGTGCCAGCCCAGTGTGTGCCACCACCCCCAGTGTGTTTCCCCCCCCCTGGTGTATGCCACCCCCGTGTCCCCGGCCGTGACCGCGCTGTGTCCCTGTGCCCAGGACATGTTTGACGTGATCCTGGACGAGAACCAGCTGGAGGACGCCTGTGAGCACCTGGCCGAGTACCTGGAGGCGTACTGGAGAGCCACGCACACGGCGAGCGCCGCGCCCATGACGCCGCTGCTGGGCAGGAGCCTGGCCCCGGCCGCGCTGTCCCCGTACCCCGCCGCCATCTCCGGCCTGCAGGTAGGAACGGGCCCCGGGCCGGCAGCGGCGCCCGGGGCTGCCCGGGCTGCCGGGGGCTCTGCCGGCCCCCGGGGAGGAGGCAGCTCCTCTGGGAATCGGTGCTCTGCCTTTAGGGGGAACCAAACCATTTCCTAGCCAGCAGGCAGCTCGGTTATGATCCCTTTTATTCTACCCTCATAACTTCACCAAACCTTGGCTTATGGGTGGAAAAGCTTGTTTTTGAGTGTGAATAAAAGGCATTAATTTTTTTTTTTTTTTTACCCATTGAAAAAAATTGTGACCCTTTTTTTCCACAGGGATAGCTCAGACTCGGCTGAACTTTGACACTTCAATCGTGGCATGTAAATAGTCCTTAATGAGAAGTACGTGCTTTATTAAGTTTGAAACCAGAAACGTTTGGGGCTGATAACTGGGGATGCTTGAGGGGCTCAGGATTTGCAGGGAGCTTTAAGTCCTGCAAGTTTCAGGGTGTGTGGGACTCCAGGAGTGTCACTTGCTAATGTACGTCAGAAATAGAACTGAACAAATGACGTTTAATGAATAATTCACCTGACAAATGTAACAAATGTCTGCTCTGCTTGTGGAGTGTCTGGAAGCAGGTAACAGCTTTGGAGGAAATGACTGTTGTTTGGTGTTTTCAGTTAACATCCAGCTGGCTTTGCTGTGAGTGAGCTGCACTTCCCTGAAGGTGCTTAATTCCTGCACTCACCTTTCTAAAGCCCTGCTTGGTTTTATTGGGACCAGCAAGTCACTGTCTCCTGAGTGGCTGAATGCACAAGCACTGTTCTGTTACTAATAATAACATGCACATGTAAACTGTTGTTTCCATTTTCCACTTGCCTTAAAATTTCAGTTTTCCATCCCTTCATGCCAATAAAATACCATCTGCAGAACTTTCACCTCTTCAGTTTCATTTTGAGAACTGGGTGTATCCACAGAATTTTTTTCAGGCATTTATTTCTCTCTGATCAATGGACACCATCAATAACTGTGAAATGTTGCTCCATTTACTTAGGGAAAACTCACACTGAAGATGAAAATCACCCCTGTGCAGTGGGCTGGCTGAAGGTATGCATCACTTAATCCCCACTTCACCCGAATTCCAAAGGGTTTCGGTGGGATCAATGGTGCTGGTGCTCTGCAGAGGGGTAAATTTCTCCCGGAGTGATCCATGCCCAACCAGAGCTGCAGGTTTTCTGTGCCACCAGGGCTCAGGCCCTGCTGTTTTCCATGGGTATCTCACAGTAAGGACCTCCACCATCCCTGCTGCCCACCAGGAGGTTTTATACTCATTCAGACCTGTGAAGGATTTGCATCACCTTTCACTGTGATCATGTGTGTGGTAATTAAAAGGCACTCAGGCTAATTAAACTAGCAAAGGTGCTTGTGGTGCAGGAAGATTTTATATTCCTTCTGCCCTTGGTACCTCGGGGACTGAAAAGCAAAAGCCCAAAGGCTACATAGCAGTGAGGTGTGCTGGGACAGGCTGTCCCTGCTTCACCAGTTCCACTTTGGGAGACTCCCATTTCCACCTGGCCGTGGCCTGGACTTTGTCCTGCTGCGAACTGAAAGTTCTGCCTGAGCTCCTGACTCAGGGACGTCACGAGGGTCACAGTCTGGGGCACAGACCCAGAGCAGTCAGAGAGGGCACAGGTGGCACTGCTGGCTCTGCCACACCTGATCCTAGGGAATTGCCTTCCTTAAAGGAAGAGCTCGATGCTGAGCTGAGGGGGAACAGTAAATTAGATCTTTGCCAGAAAAATATTTATTGCTCTGAGAAGCTGTGGCTGCCCCTGGATTCCCTGGAAGTGTCCCAGGCCAGGCTGGATGGGGCTTGGAGCAGCCTGGGACAGTGGAAGGTGTCCCTGCCCATGGCAGGGGAAGGAATTAGTTGATCCTCAATTTCCCTTCCAACCCAAACCATCCTGGGATTCTCTACCTCCTTGGCACCAGTCATTCCCTCTGACTGGTTAGCTCTAAACACATCTAGCCTCATTTCAGTGCCTGGATTCAAATCCTGTAGCTCAGGTTTTGGGGAGATGTGTTCCTTAGGCTCCAGGGGATTGGGGTTTCAGGTCCATTCCTGCAGGCAGTCATCCAGTCTCACAGCAGATCACAGCCATGGGCCATCAGAGCCAGGTGTACCCAGCCCAGGCGTGTCCCATGGTGGCACCCCAGGAGCTCAGCAGGCCCTGGGATGAGCACACAGCCAGGGAAGCAGGAAGGTTCCAGGAAAGCAGCAGGATGCAGCCCCAAAGGTGCATTCCCACAGGGGAGGCAGAGGGGTAAGCCCAGAGATAAAGCTACAATTGATGAGGGGATTATACATCCAAACTGCATTTGTGTCATATAAACACGAGGATAATTCATCATGGAATCAAGGAACCCCAGAATGGTTTGGGTTGGACAGGACCTTAAAACCCATCCATGGGCAGGGACACCTCCCACTGTCCCAGGCTGCTCCAAACCCCAATGTCCAGCCTGGCCTTGGGCACTTCAGGATCCAGGGGAAGCCACAGCTGCTCTGGAGCCTGTGCCAGGGCCTCACCTGTCTCCCAGGCAGGAATTCCCAATGTCCCATCCATCCCTGCCCTCTGGCACTGGGAGCCATTCCCTGGCCCTGTCCCTCCATCCCTTGTCCCCAGTCCCTCTGCAGCTCTCCTGGAGCCCCTTCAGGCCCTGCCAGGGGCTCTGAGCTCTGCCTGGAGCCTTCCCCAGATGAACATCTCTCCCATCCTGCCTTTAATTTCTGAAGCCCTTTGCCATAATCCCCACTGAAGCCTGGTGCTGTGAATGGCGATCCCCTGCAGGAGCTCTCCCCGGATCTGGGCTGAGCTTCCAGAGGGGTCCCTGGCTCAGGGCCCCTCTCCAGGAGCCTCCCTGGCAGCAGCAGCCCCGAGCTGTGAGCACACAGCCCTGCTCCATCCCTGCCCCGGCCCCAGCAGCCTTGGACATCAATTATTCAGGAAACAGTCGCCAGGCAGAGGCTGTAGCAGCAGGAGGAAGGTTTTATATCCCAGAGAGCAGGGGCTGGAGTTTCAGCACGGAGTTTGTCCTGAGAGATGGGTGCTGATGCTCCTGAGAGGTTTAATGTGTGGTGAAAGCAAACAAAGTGCTTGTTTTAGGCTGTTTCTTCACTGTGCCATTAACTGGCAAAAAACCATGAACTAATTTTGTTCATGTGACAAGAGAGGGGCATTGTCATTATGGGAACGTGAGGAGAGCAAAGGTTTCTGATTAATAAATTATCTCTGGAAAATGATGGGCATTGTCATTACGGGAACGTGAGAAGAGCTAAGGCTTCTAATTAATAAATTATCTCAGGAAGGGATTTTCTGTCCACATATTTAAATACCGTGCTTCAGTATTTATTATCCAATGATTTTAGCCTCTCCTTGGCCAACCATCAATGGTTTGGTCATAGGAAGGATTTTAAGTGAGGCCCAGGAGCTGCACCTTTAAAAACAGCCCAAACATCTTCAGATGTTTTCCAGAACCACAGAAATGGACGCTTAGCCATTCCCTAAGCAGAGTAGCAGCGTGGATGTTCTGTTCCTGATCAGAGAAAAGTGATAAATGCTGACTACATCAGCTCACTTTTCATGCTCGGTGTAACACTCAGCAGGGCGAGGAGCTGCGGCAAGCAGAGCTGCCCGAGGCCGGCCCTGCAGCAGCCGGGCCCTGCTGGAACGGGAGAGCCGGGAGCTGCTGCAGGGCCGGGCCGGGCAGAGCCCTGAGCTGCTGCAGGGCCTGGCCGGGCAGGGCCGGGCCGAGCCGGGAGCTGCTGCAGGGCCTGGCCGGGCAGAGCCCTGAGCTGCTGCGGGGCCGGGCCGGGCCGGGCAGAGCCGGGAGCTGCTGCGGGGCCGGGCCGGGCCGGGCAGAGCCGGGAGCTGCTGCGGGGCCGGGCAGAGCCGGGCCGGGCAGAGCCGGGCCGGGCCGGGCCCTCACTAACTGCGTTCTCTGGCCCCGCAGAGCCAGCGCGGGAGGCACGGCGCGCACTCCGCCGAGAGCTCTCCCCTCGAGCGGCGCAGCCTCATGAGCTCCGACGAGAACTACCACAACGAGAGGGCTCGCAAGAGCAGGAACCGCCTGTCTTCCAGTTCCCAGCACAGCCGAGAGCACTATCCCCTGGTGGAAGAGGAGTTCCCCGACCCCTACCAGGACTCGTACAAACCCCACCGCAGCCGCGGCTCCCCCGGCGGCTACAGCCACGACTCGCGGCACCGGCTCTGAGTGCTGGGACTGGCGCGGAGCGGCATCCCCCGCTGGTACCTCGCCACAAGTAGCTAGGAGTAACAATTACACCGCGTTCATTTGGCAGGTGTGACCGTGACACCGCAGTCGCACCCTGCTGTCATTGATGTTTAATTAGGGGGCAGCAAAACCCAGCCCGGCCCTTCCGTTTCTGCCCGATCATAGAGGTTGTTTTTGGGATTATTTTTGGGTTTCATACAGCGTTCGCATTTATAGCCATATTTTTTTTCTCGTCCTTAGGTATTAGACGCATTCGTTTGTAATTTTGGGTACTTATCGAGGCACTTATAAAATAATTTCCTGTGCTGGAAATTCCAAATGACCAGTTCCAGTTGGAACCAATTTATAAACCAATTCCTGTTGGAATTTGGGTGAATTGACTGGAAAGTCGACGTGAGCATGTTGGGAAAAAAAACCAAACACGAAGAAAAATCTGAAAATTACAAACCACTGCAAGTCAGAAAGTCAGCTCCAGTATTTGTTTTGCTGGGAGCTCAATTTCCATTTCAGGTTGGAGTAAAAGGATTTATTCTAACGATTTCTTTCCAGAATGGCTTTTTCAGACAAACCAAATGTAAACTCTCGAGAGTGCCAAATATCCCAAATTATTGCAGCAGTTACAAAACACTTTCCGGTTCCAAATTATTTTTAGACCTGGCATGAATGTTGCAGCCAAATGATTCTTGAGTTCAGCCAGTCCTGACAGCTTTGTTGGGACCAGCAGGGAGGAGCTGCGACAGGAGACGGGAAGTAGGGACAGGAAAAGGAACAAACTCCATCCTTTGTGTGCTTGGGGGTCGGGAACAGTCTTTATTTTTTCCCACTCTTTTACCTGAATACAGCTAGAAGTCCCAAAATGGAACAGGAGTATAGAGACATCAGATTTTTTTCCCATTTTTATCCTGCTTTTTAAATGGAAAGCAATCCCCTCCTCTGACCCTATGTTGAAGTCCCTACATCCCAGGACCCCGAGTAGCTGCCCACATGTTCCATCTTCCCAAGCCCACCTGGGGATGCCTGACCATGTCTGACCATTCCAGCGGCGCACAAGAACCCTCCAGAAAATCCATTCCAGCCATGAAACCCAAGGGGAGGGAGTGGGCTTGACCAACCATCACTGACAAACATTTCAAACAACATCTCGGTCAGAATTGCAATAAAAAGGGAACATCAGACAAAAATCTGCTCCCAGGGAAGTCGTGGAGCTGATTCCAAGCTTTGCATTCCAAGAGCTATGATAAATCCTCGGAGATATTGCTGCCTTACTTCCTACCAATCATTTCTGTCACCTGCTGAGTCTTGAGTTCCTCCCAAGAGATGAATTTCTGTGGTTGGACCTTGTGTTTTACACCATCTGTGAAGCCTTAGATCCCACGGGATTGAAAATTGAGCCCCATTGCCCATTTTGTACAACCACTGACATCTTCCAGCAGAGCCTCCCGAGATTCCCACCGCACACATTCCCTGGAATTCACACAGTTGTGATGCTGAACGTGCATTTGTTTGTGCAGATTCACGTCACAACTATGTTTTCCCCAAAATAAGGATCGTTATCTTTTTTATTTGCTTGTTTTCCTCCCAAACCCTGCTGAACCCAGGCTTTGAAAGCATGTAGCACTACAGGAATTTCTGGAATATTCTGGTTTCTTCTACGTCCTGGACCAGCTGGCAAAGACCACTGGTGTTTGCAGCATCCTGGAGTCAGATTATCCTCTTGAAGTTGCTGGGAAAAGCAATCCATGTCCTTTGTGGGGCACCCTAACCCAAACCATCCCCAGCAGCATTAAGAGGTGGCAGATGCCTGATTAATTAATCATTTTAATGACCCCACTGCCCAACAGGCAGCTGCAGCACCACTGGGTGATCCCACTGGAGCAGTTACAAGGGAAATGTGGAAATCTGTGCACCCACAGAGTTGTGGATGGATCTGCCAGACCTGATCCTGCCCACTCCCTCTGGCTGCAGCTCTGAGGCTGAGGGGACGTGGCGGGACCTGGCTGTGGCAGCTCCTGCAGGGTTCTGTGCTGCAGCACAGGGCAGCATCCTTCAGGAACTGTCCAGCCCCTTTTCCATGTGCAGCACACAGAGAGGACAAGGGAGGCCTTGGCAGCCCCTTCTTCTCTGAGCTTTCCTTGTTTGTGCATTGAAGTCCTGCTTGCAGGGCAGCTGTAGAACCCTGGGCAGCAGCTGCTTCTCTTTATTCTGCACTAGATTAGGGATCGGCTCGTTAACTGCTTGAGGAGATTTGCATATTTGCATATTTGCAGTCAGATACTTCCTAGAGCCTTTTGGAGCCTTGTTTTCAGTCTTCCATGTCACCCCAGGCCAGGGAAGGATCCCCAGCCACCACACTCTGCACAGTCCATCACCCGAACATCTCAAGTGCCAAAACTGCTTGGGTTTGACAAAAACAAACTTGTGAGGAAGCCAGGGATGGGCCTGAGCTCCTTCATGCCCTGGGGTTAAGCTGCCTTCACTCCTGGCTGTCCTGAGTTTCTCCCAGAGCCCATTCCATTGTCACCAAAGGGGCCCTGCAGGTCTCCCTCCTTGCTGGGCTGCTGAATTCTGTGAAGAGAGATATTCCTGAAGTACAGAAACAGCAGCCAGGCTGGCAGACTCTCCATTTATTGCAGATCCTGTGGGCAGGGTTTGTTTGAAGAGGGGATTTCTGTTCAGGACACAGTCAGGAGTGAAAGCTGTGCTGGGGATCAGGATTGGTGATTCCTGGTGGGATTCCAGCACTGCTCAGCAGCTCTCCTGTGGTTTAGCTGAAGTTGAGGAGTTCATGTGTTCCTGAGTGAAGCAATCCAGCCTCATTCTCCAGTCCTCACATCATTTCTTGTTGTTAAAATAGCACTAAAGAGCAGAGCTCTGCTGGGAGCTCTGGCAGGGACAGAGGGTTTACAAATGTTTATAAAACACGGAGTTTTTTTAAGTTGTGTTGTTATCCGAGTTTCTCATTCAGACACTTTGGGATTAACAAGGATTTAACCAATCAAGGTGATAACAACAATCTCTACAGAGAAAATTCAGCACATTCTTATGTTTGGGAATCAATTATTCTAATTGTTAACCTTCAAATACTTTCTCCCTGGAGTTGTGTTTAACATGTACAGATTCTGTTCCCGATGCCAAACACTTCTCCCATGGGATGTGCAACTCACAGCTGCTGATATTTGTAACTTCAGTTTGATACCAAATCTTCTGAATTCAGTTTGGTCTCAACACCACAGAATTCCCTGGAGCATCCTGACTCTCCTGTCTTTACTGACCTGACCATTCTAAAACAATATTGTTATTCCTGTTGTTGACAGCACACTGAGTTGGGTAAGTCAGGGGTTCTGACACTCCTTTTTTCTTTAATAATCCATTAAATGTGTCCTCTGCTGTATTTTCTTTCACAGCTTCAGAACTTCTGAAACTTGTCCTTGATCCCACATTCCTGATTTTTTTTTTAAGGCAAAATAATTGGCGACTACACACGACAAAATCAGATGCATATTTTATAAAATGCCATTTATACAAACCTGGGTTTGCTCCTAAAAATGTGCATTCTAACATCAGGTTCTGTTACCCCTGTTGGTGCCAGTCCAGGTTTGGATCCATGGGATTTTGTTGGAGTTGCCTCTCATTCCTTCAAATATTAGTCCTACAAAGGCTGCAGGATCCTGTAATGCAGCCAAGCTTAACTCTGGGGAAATGGAGTTTAAATGATCCTAAAAGAGAGTGTGGTGTCATTTTAAGAGGCATTTGAATAACCTTGGTGAGGTTGTTACCAAGCTCAGTTTATTTTATATAGAAAAATAAAGGCTTATCTTTAAAAAACTCAGAAATTTTAATAAAGTTGTAAAATACATGTAAGGAGTTAACTCAGAGAAAGAGGTGAAAATGCTACTTAGGAGTGAAAGTTCAGATTTCTTTCAGTGTGTGTGGAATCCACTCAAGAAGTCAGGAGAAATATTGTGATTAGATCCATCAGAGAATTTGGGGAGGAGGTGGAATCATTTCAGATGTCACCCAGTGTCACTCCTTTACTCCTCTGGAAGGAGCAGCCTTGCCTTGGTCCCAGGAGGGTTTATGGACCTGCCTCAGGAATTGGGGAACCCAAATCCCTTGGCAGTGGCACCAACTCCTGTCTGGTCCCAGGGCAAGGTCTGCACCTCCTGATCCTCCCCTGCCTCACCAATATTGCCTGAAAACCGAGCTGTAATTAATTAATTAATTAACTGGGACATGCCCGTGGTGGATCTGCTCTGCAGCAGGGAACCCACAGAGCTCAGAGTTCTCTCCTCTGCCAGCGGTGTGAAAACAGAGCCAGGGAAAAGAAGCACATTTGTAATAGCACAAATTTACAATAATTCCACTCCTGCGTCTGGCATCGTGGGTTTGGAACTGAGGGGGAGATTTCTGATCCAGCATCAGTGGATTTATTGCATTTTTGATCTGTTTACTCGCTGCCTGATACTTCAGCAGTTGATTTTGGCATTTTGCACATGGGATTGATTTTTCAATAACTTGTATCCCTTCCATATGAATTAATTAATGACAACAAAAAGAACCTTTTCAAATCACAAAGCCCACTGCATTCATTTCTGCCGATTTCCTCCTGGAAGCTGAAATCACATGAGTAACTTTAATTTTGGCCAATGTGTAGATCTGGGATGGGACTGGTGAACCCAGCAGCAGCCCAAGGTCGGGAATGAAACGCTCCCAGGAAATGTTTGTGGGGATACAGAGCTTGGAGGGGGTGGGAAGAGTCACAGCACCCGAAATTCCAAGAATTCCCTGCAAAGGGAGGTGAGGTTGAGGAAGTGTGTGTGGGCCCAGGTGTGTTTGGGATTGGGACACACCTGACTGGTTCCCTCCTGGGGCAGACAGGAGAGTCAGGCCGGCAGATGCAGATTGTGTGCAAGCAGAGCGGGGAGAACGCTGGGATCTGCAGTTCCAGCTGCACACTCCAGACCTTGGGCTTCTCACATCCTGGCAAATCTCTGTTTTCAGCCAAACTGGCTCCCAGGGAGGGCCTGGCAGCGCTGCCTCGCTGGGAGCCAGTTCAGAGCCACACTGGTGAAGACATGACTGCCTTTACTGGGACAGAGCCACCCCAAATTTGTGTTTTCTGCTGATTTTCCCTTTGTTTTGCCCTCTAGACCCCGTGTGTGTAGCACCTGACCAGGCATGTGGGTACTATATACTATGCAATGTGTACAGTGGTGCATGCTCTGCTCTCCCTCTGCTTTTAGTGGCTTTCAAAGAAAACTACAAAAATTGGAAAAAAAAAAAAAGAATAAAAAAAAAAAGTGGTGTTATTTTTGTGACCAGGATCATGCAGACTGCATGCCCATAGTATCCTCATTTCTATGGATTCGTTTTCTGGAATTTAGATGTACAAAGATGAACTGCATTACAATAACTTTTCTACAATAAATGAACAAAACTACCAAGCGTTTAAAAGTCTGTCCAGTGTCTTTGTGTCCTGCACTAAGATTGGGAAGATGCTCAGGAGGAACCCGGAGTCCTGTGGCATTTCTGCTGTTTGCCAATAGATTTTGGCAGCAGCCTCACGTGTTGCGTTTTTAGGAAAGTTTAATGAGGTTCTGAAGAAGGAGATGCATCTGCTCTGCGAAATAAATGATGTTTATTTTTGTAACAAGCTTAAATAGCTGTGACCCAGAAGTACAGAAATACAGATAATTCCTGCTGATCCAGCAGGGAGCGAGGTACTGGCAGCCAACTGCTCCTTTGAAGGATTCTCGGGAATGTTCAGGGGTCTGGAGCTGGTCCTTGGTGGGATCTCCTGGTTCCTAGGCAGGAGCAGGGGCAGAATGATGGGAGGGATTAAGGGTTGGATAATTATAAGGTAATTAATAGTTTATCACAGAATGGTGAAGGTTGGAAAAGACTCCAAGGCCACAGAGTCCAACTGTGGCTGATCCCCACCTGAGTGCCACCTCCAGCCACTTCTGGTATCTTGGAAAACTGAAAGCACTGGAAGATGCTGCCTCTGGAAGATTCCATTGGAATCTTGGAAGAAGCATTGGAAGATTGCAGCCTCCTCTTCCCAAAAAGGAGAAACAGGAACCAGCAACCTCCGGAGATGCTGTGAGCAGCCAGACCTTGCCTTGGAGGGACAGGAGCACGCTGGCCAGGTGAGCTGCACCCACAGGCAGATCTAAAGCTCTTAAAATTCTGTGTAATAGGACTTGCTTGGCTGTGGGTTCAAAATTAGATCTTAAGACATGAGTTTTCATCTAAGCTGTTGATGAAAAACAGGAAGGTCTTCAAATAAATATAACTGAGCAAAAAAATGCCTTTTGTGTGTTTTCATATAATCCTAGGGGTTAAAATTTATTAAGTTGCTTAAGTTGCCTGTGTCCTGGGGAAGGGGCTGGAGCCTCAGGAACAGCTCAGGGGGGATTTTGGGGACATTCCATCAGGAAAAGGTGCTCAGGTGGAGTCCCCATCCCTGCAGGAATTTCAAGGTGGATGTGGCACTTGGGGACACGGGGCAGTGCTGGGAATGGCTGGACTCAAATATCTTAGAGGCCTTTTCCAGCCTCAGCCATCCCATATTCCCTCCGTTTGGGTTTTTTCCTGCACAGAAGCATTTCCATGATGAAATCCTTCTGTCGGCATTCCAAGCACTTCCCCAGCACAGACTCCCTGACCCTGTCTGTGCTACAGTTGGAACAAAACGTTCACGACCCGAAAAATCCCTCCCAGACTTCCAGAAGCGAATTGCAGTACACGACCCGAAAAATCCCTCCCAGACTTCCAGAAGGGAATTGCAGTACACGACCCGAAAAATCCCTCCCAGATTTCCAGGAGGGAATCGCGAGGCTGTACCAGCCCTGCCCTCTGGAATGCTTTCCTAGAAAGCTTCCAGCAGCACTGGGGAGCCCGGCTTAGCCCATAAAAACCAGCAGTACGATCCAGGTTCAGCCAGGCTGCCCTAGGGAAAAACCCAAACAAATGGCACGGGGTGGGAGGAATCCTCTGAGGTTTTTATTGAAATAATCAGAATAAACGGTTTAATTGAACTTTGGTAGCTCTCCCACAGCTGTGCAGCCACCGAAGCCTGCGAGAGTTGAGAACAGGGAAGAACGCCGAGTGCTTCTGAAATTCCAAGCTGAGGACCGGCAGAAAGGGGGATAAGTGCCAGCTAATGAATAATTAACGCCATTGTAGGCTGGATGCTGAACCTGTGGAATGTTTTACACCGGAGGAACTCACCCGGGGTGCGGGATGGACTGGCACAGTGGGCTACCACAATATTTCTCTTCTTAAACTCTTCAGGGCCATGAATTCTCCTCCTGAGCAACAGGAAACACAAAATCTCTGGACACAGAAGACTGGAGATTACTCTGGCCTTGCTGCTTTGGTTCTGCACCAGCAGGGAAAATTAAACACAAGAAGCTGCTGTGGGAACAAAAGCTGGTTGAAGATGAAAAACTTCTGGAATAAGAAAGGAGATTTCCTGTCCCAGGCCAGGCTGGACATTGGGTCTTGGAGCAGCCTGGCACAGTTAAAGGTGTTCCTGCCATGGCAGGGAAAGGTGTCAGGTGTTGGTTTTCTTAGTTTTTACAGAGATGGGGTAACTGAGAGGTTTTAAAAGATTTTATTCTATTGTTAGTGAGACACAAGAGATGTAAAACTTATTCTATGCCTTACCCATATCACAAATTATTATAGTCAGGGCCAGGACAAGTGAGAGGGCAAATACTCCATGTCTTGTCTAAGGCAGCAGCACAGCTGTGCACAACCTAATTACTATTGCCTGGGATTTCCAAATCCATCAGGGTTTAAACTCAGTGGAGGGTTTGGACAGAGAGAAATTTATCTCAGGGAAGAGAAGGCTCTGGGCAGATCTTAAAGCCCATTCCAGTGCCAGAAGTGCCCTTATGCAAACTCACCCCCAGCTACTGGGGAGCAGCTTCACCCACGTTATTCCCGAGTTTTCCGCAGAGCACCAAGTTTTAGTGGGGCAAAGTGAATGTGGGTTCTTCATAGACTGCAGCCAGCCTGGGAGAGCTGGGAATGTTCCCCTGGAGAAGGGAAGGCTCCAGGCAGAGCTCAGAGCCCCTGGCAGGGCCTGAAGGGGCTGCAGGAGAGCTGGAGAGGGACTGGGGACAAGGGATGGAGGTGGAGCACACAGAGGAACGGCTTAAACCTGAAGGGACGGGGTGATTTCGATGCGGTACCGAAGACAAATCCCTGGCTGTGAGGGCGGCGGGATCAGCTGTGAAGCGGGAGATGCCCGTGGCAGGGCCGGGATGGGCTGCGGGTCCCGCAGAGGCACCGCGGGCAGTGGGTGTGCGGAGCCCGGCACTGTGGCACCGCGGGCAGTGGGTGAGCGGAGCCCGGCACTGTGGCACCGCGGGCAGTGGGTGTGCGGAGCCCGGCACTGTGGCACCGCGGGCAGTGGGTGAGCGGAGCCCGACGCTCTGGCCCCGAGGGCAGTGGGTGTGCGGAGCCCAGCGCTGTTGCCCCGCAGAGGCTCTGAGGGAGCCCGGCGCTCTCGGCCCACAGAGGCACCGAGGGCAGTGGGTGTGCGGAGCCCGGCGCTCCCGGCCCCGCGGCAGCGGGTCTAACGGAGCCCGGCGCTGTGGCACAGCGGGCAGTGGGTGAGCGGAGCCCGGCGCTCTGGCACCGAGGGCAGCGGGTCTGACGGAGCCCGGCGCTGTGGCCCCGCTCCGCCGGGCGCGCTGAGGCGGTGCCGTGTAATGGCGGCCGCGGTGCCGCCCCCGCGCGTCAGCGCAGCGCGCCCGGCCCGGCCCGGCCCGGCCCGTCCGTGAGGCGGCCGCGGGCGCTGCTCCGCTCCCGGTGCCGCCGCCGCTGCCGCCCCGCTGCCGCTGCCGAGCCCCGTCCCGAGCCCCGTCCCGACCCCGCGGCGATGTCCGAGCGGCAGCGGCCCCGGCGCGGCCCCAGCCGGCACTCGGGGCGCTGCGCCGGGCCCTGAGCGCCCGCGGCCCCGCAGAGCCGCGGCCGGCGAGGCCCGGAGCGCCCGGCCGAGGATGGGGATCCTCTTCACCAGGATATGGAGGCTCTTCAACCACCAGGGTGAGGCCCGGGGGGATCCGGGAGGGACCCACAGCCGCGCCGGGGCGGCCGCACCGGCTGCTGGAAGTCGGGGGCTTTAACCTTTTTTTTTTCCACCTTCTTTCAATTACTGGAGTGCTCATTTCCTGACAGCCGCCTGTTCAATTATTAATGTGTGCTCCTCAGAGGAGCACGGCCGTGGCGCGGCGGGTGTGTTCCCCTTGCTGTCAGCAGAGTGCGGGTTTAAGTAGCAGTGCTGGATAAATGGCTCGTTCACGGAGTAAATGTTATTTATAACTTCGGTTGTGGCCGCCCCTCGATCCCTGCAAGTGTCCCAGGCCAGGTTGGACAGGGCTTGGAACAGCCTGGGACATGGAAGGTGTCCCTGCCCATGGCAGGGGGGTGGCACTGGATAATCCTTGATTTCTGTTCCAACCCAAACCATTCCGGGATTCTGGGATTTTAAACACCCATCCTTACAGCTTACATCCTTACAGCACGGTGTTCATGAGAGTTGTAACTTTAACTACAAAACACCTCCCGATGCTCTTTCCACGTTCCTGAAGTCCTTGGGATCTGATTTAGAGTGAAGCTCAGTACTCTCACACCTGCTGGTTGAATGTCCCAGTTATGTCCCCGTTACCGTGTAGTGCAAATACAGCAAAATATTTTTGTCTTGTAGCGTCCAGCCCCACCTCAGACCTCCTGTTCCAACTGATTTCCTAACATCCACTATGCTGGCAGCATCCCACCTGAAACAAAAGTTCCTAGTTATGTGGGGTCAGGTAAGCAGACACTTTTACAATATTGTGCAGTTGTGCAAAGTTATTAAAGCTGGAATTTCTGTTGGAGGGCATGAAAGACAACTCTGCAAAACCACACAATATTGGTAAAATCAAACCCCAGAAAGCCCCACTTACCTGACCCCTGTCCCCTCCCTCTCCTGTGGGATAAATCAGTTTGCTGGCAGGGATTGATCTCGGTGTCTGAAGCTTGGGCATGTTTTTAATGCTTTTTGTTGCCCCTGAGGAACACGGGGAAGGAGGGGAGAAACCCCCTTCTCACCAAGCTTTTACTTGACTGCTCCTGTTTGGTTGTGCAAGTGAAAGTTGTGTAAGAGAGCTGAGGGCTGGCTGTGCTCTCCCAAACTGGGAATCATCCGTTTGGATGTGCTTGACTACCAGTTGTAGAGTTTCCAGCCACTTCTGTGATGCACAGGAGAGCAGGTGCTGAAGGGAGGCAAGAATTGATGGGGCATTGAGCTCCACAATGTCACAGGTGGGGTGTGGTGACTTGTCCAAGGCCAGGCTGGGTGAATGTGTCCTGTGAAATGTTGGGGGGCACAGGGATCACCCCAGCCTGGTTGGGTTTTACCTGTTCTTTGCAGAGGCATCAGGAGATTGCCTGGGTGAAGGGAAGGTGGAGTTGGGAGCTGAAAAGTTCACAGTGGAGTTGGGAGCTGTTGTGGCTGGAGGGATGCAGTGTGACACAGGCTGCACAAGCCTGCAGGAGCTTGGGAGAGGATCCCAGCGTGGCCCTGGCAGTCAGGGATGGCAAACATCCTTCTGAGATCTCTCAGGAACGGTTCTGTGGAGGGGGAGAGCTGCCAGTCCCTTCCCTGCCCACACAAACTTCCTGGGCTGGCCCACAAACACACCTGGCCACGGCACCTGGAGCTGGGCACCGTTGGCTCAGGAAACCAGAGGCAAACGTGGCACTGACTGTGATCCAGCCCCACAGCTGTGACTTACCAGTGCTGTTTTCCTTGCAGAGCACAAGGTGATCATTGTGGGCCTGGACAATGCAGGGAAAACGACCATTCTGTACCAATTGTAAGTAGCATCTGTGGGGGCATTTCCAGGTGTGCTCCGTGGCCCTGGGTGCTTCACTCTGAGCTGTCCAGGTGCCACAGGGTGCCTGGAGCTCAGGAAGGGCTCTGCTGGGTGAACGAGGGTTTGTTCAGGGGGTTTGGATCACATCACCTGCTGTTGCCATGCACTCCCAGCACACTTGGTGTCAGGGCCCTGGCTCTCTGCCAGCCCCGTAAAATGTGATTGGAGTGAGTGCTGGCCACTGTTGCAAAACTGATCCACGGCACAGATCACTCTGTGAGTGGCAAAGCACCTCTGCCTGCCCTGACTTGTGTCCCCAGCGCTGAGATCAGTTTGTTTGTGGGATGAAGGAGGAAGGCTGGACCAGCACAAACCCAGGACAACACCCCCGTGCTGTCCTGCACCTTCTGCCTTCCACAGCAGCATTGATTTGTGTTTGCCTTGCATTAACCTTGCTCCTGGTTTACATGGAGCTCAAATGAGTTTCATATCTCAGTTCCCAGCTGCAGTTTGATAGAGGACACCAGTCTGTGCACAGAATCACCAGTCTGTGGCACGGGCAGCTCAAGGTCTGTTTGTGCTGGGGACAGATTGGCCTTTCCCACGTGCAGCGTGTGGCACTGGGGAGTGTTCCTGAGTCAGAAATAATTCCTGATAAATGATGTGGCCGTGCTGCTCCAAGCCCACATGTAAAATTGGCTTTCTGGAATGGCTGGGGTTTGTCACATCCCAACCTGCTCTGCCTTTCCCAACACATTTCTGGCTGCTGGTGCCCTGCCATGCTGCAGGGAGAGTGGAAGGTGAGGGTGATGGTGATTTGTAGAGGGAGTGAGAGATGTTCAAAAGCACAAACAGAGTGAAGGGTGTTTCTTAAGTGTGGAAACTGCTGCAGCTGAGGGCCGTCCTTGGTGGTTTTTAATCCACTTCCTCCACAAATGTCTCGCTGTTCTTCCCCTTATTTCTGCAGTTTCAGTGCTTTCTTTTCCCTCTCATACAGATCTCTGTCTGTCTCCTTTTTCTTTGTACCCACTCTGACTCCACAGGACTTTCCCAGCTCCCTTATTCTCCTGCCTTACTCCTCCTTAACCCTGCCCCATCTTTGCAGATCCCATTTTTCCTCTTGCAGACACTCCCTTGTCTCCCATTCTCACACTCAGCTCTCCTTGCACTGGCCCAGGATAACTGGGATTGTTTTTCAGAGCACTGCACCATCCCTTTATCTCCTTGGCTCTCTGTATCCTCTTCAGGAAATATCCCAGCACCATTACAAGTCTCAAATTGCTGTCACTGTAACTAAAAGCTCTGCTGGAACTTCAAAAAGGTTCATACAAAATGAAAAGCTATATCAAGATGATCAGAAGAAAAAATAATTAAGTTCTTTTGAACACAGATGGTTTGCCTTGGAGCTACTGTTAATTTTTTTGCCTGTTACAGTAGAGTTTAGATAGTCTGAACTTTTGGAGAATCCAGAGCACACATTTGGTTGTTTGATGTGAAACTGGTGTTCTTAGTGACAAAGTCACACTCAGTATCACTAAACAGTACATTTGAAATGTTTAATGGCTGCATTTATCTGCAGCAAGTTGTGTATGGGCTGTGCTGAGGGGAGAAGAGGAGGAAGTGAGGACAGAAGCATTGTGAAGAAAGTCTGGTTTTAGTGGCCTGCCCTGGAAGGAGAGCGGGATGGAGTGGGTATTTCTGGTGGAGCTGGAGGATGAGCTGTTGTTTTTCTGAAACCTTGGAAATCTTGTGGCCTAACCACATTCTTGAAGCAAAACAACTGCTCTGTCCCATGTCAGCCAAAATGGGCCTGGAGAAAGAAGAGCCGAGTGCTCCCAAAAGCTTCTGGAGCAAAAATGCTCTCAGCTCCATGGTTTAATTAATTATAACACATTTTGTTCACAAGTGCTCTCTCAGCTCCATAATTTGATTATTCCATAGTTCACTGAGCCCTTTTCATTGCTGTTTTTATTTATGTGTGCACCTTCCACCGCCAGCCCTTGCCTTGGCTGCCCAGGGAGTGTTGCTGAGGTTCTGCCCTGGGCTGCAGCTCCAGGGGTGCCTCTGGGTGACTGTCCTGTCCCTGTCCCTGTTCCCTGTGCAGCTCCATGAACGAGGTGGTTCACACCTCTCCCACCATCGGCAGCAACGTGGAGGAGATCGTGGTGAACAACACGCGCTTCCTGATGTGGGACATCGGGGGGCAGGAGTCCCTGCGCTCCTCCTGGAACACCTACTACACCAACACCGAGGTGACAGCCCTGCCCCTGCACGGCACTCTGCTGGCCTGGGGGCTGGCCTTGTGCCTCACTTCTCTGGGAATGGCACATCCCACCCTGATGTGTCTGGGAATGGCACAATCCCCTTGCTGTGTGCACGCTCACTCTCCCTGCAGTGGCTGCTCCAAAACCTGCCTGGCAGCCCCAAAGCTCCCTCCAAAACCTTGGCAGCTCTGCCTCACCAGCTCCTGTCATCACCAGCTTCAATGAGTTTTCAGAGCTCTTCAGAGGTGCAGTTGCAGTACACACACATGTGTGTATATTAAAAAAAAAAAAAAAAAAAAAAAAAAAAAAAAAAAAAAAAAAAGTATATAAATTTTATCAACCACACAACTTGATAAAAACAATGCTTTAAATCAAGCTTTCCTATGTTATCAAAAAAAAGTTAAATATCTATATTATATTTATAAATATCTATATTATATTTATATATTTATATTTATAAATAATATACCACACAACTTGATAAAAACAATGCTTTAAATCAAGCTTTCCTATATGTTATCAAATAAAATTTAAATATCTATATTTATAAATATCTATATTATATTTATATATTTATATTTATAAATAATATACCACACAACTTGATAAAAACAATGCTTTAAATCAAGCTTTCCTATATGTTATCAAATAAAATTTAAATATCTATATTATATTTATAAATATCTATATTATATTTATATATTTATATTTATAAATAATATAAATAACACAAATATTTAAATATTCGATTTATATTTAAATGTTTATATTATACAAATGACGTTTTGTACGGTTAAATACAATTAGCACAATGATTACCTTTGTCTCCAGTTCGTCCCCATGAGGTGCTGTGATTCCTTAAAGTTCTTTTCCAGCCTAAATGAAGCTGGGAGGGTGTTCTTGGAGTTTGGGGTTTCAGGACTTTTTAAATCCCATGCAAATATCTGTTTGCATGTTATTCTTGATCTAGACAAAGAAAAATTATTCATTTTGTTTTAAAAAACTGCAACAAATGATTTGAGGGATCTCTGTGGTGCCTCAGCTACACCAAGCAAAGAACAAAACCAAATCTGGGATTACAGAGAATTTTCTTGCTTTCAATATGAATTTTTCACTGAAAAATGGAGAACAGAAAGTGAAAAGTTGTGTCGGAGCTGCCTTGTCCCCAAAGCACAGCACAAGAGTGAATAACCCCAGGCCTGTGGGATTACTGGGGCTGGAGGGAGGTTTGGGAACAGGGATGGGGTCTGATAATCCAGCTGGATAATGGGCTGGGAGTGGGAACTGCAGGAGTTTCTCTGCCTAATAATCTCCCTTTTTGCAGTTTGTGATAGTTGTGGTGGACAGCACAGACAGAGAGAGAATTTCTGTGACTAAAGAAGAGCTGTACAAAATGTTAGCACACGAGGTGAGTCCGCCGTGTCTTTAATATTTGTTTTAATATTTATTTTAATATTTTAATATTTAATATTTATTTTAATGATCTGGCTGATACTCGCCAAGGGAAGCAGATTTACACCCTGAACTGCCTTGTCCCTGCTGCACTGTGCTCTGTGACACTCCCAGCAAAGCTGTTAATTAATACTGAATTACAGAAGTAGCCTGTCACAGTGCTCCAGTGAAACAGCAGCTGGGACCTGTCAGGGACATCTGTGGGTTTTGTACTTCAGTCCCTGTTAATATCTGAATTAGAGCCTTTAAATAATAAAAAAAAATCCTGCAATAATATTTATTTAATAATTATTTAATAATTATTTATTTAATAATTATTTCATAATTACTGATAAAATTTAATAATTATTTAAATAATTATTTAATGCAGTTTAATAATTATTTTGATATCCTCATGGTTGCCTGAGGTTTTAGAGCCTTTACAGTGTGTGTTAGAGCACCCAGCTCTGAAACTGAAGGAACTCCAGCCCGTGGCTGCAGCAGCCACTGCTCTGGGGGTATCTGGAATTCCTGAGTGGGAATTGCTGAATTGTACCAACCCTCCTTAAACCTGAGCCCTGGGTCAGCTCCAAACCTGAGCTGGGCTGAGGTACAAGCCAGGCAGCATCTGTGGCGTGACCTGAATGCAAACTGGATCAGGGTGTGTGAGCTGACACCGAGCTTCCAAATTTAAGTGTCAGAATAAAAAATATGCATAAAAATTATGGGATTATACCCTAAAATATACCATCTATATTTAACCTATAGCCACGGTTTGGGAGCATGCAGGAAGGGCACAGCCCCCTATGGATTTCCTTTGAGGAAAAACATGGGCTTTGCAGAGGATCTTTCAAGTTCTAATTTTTTTGTGGGTTTTGTTTTGTTTTATTTTGGTTTTGTTTGGGTTCTTTGTTGGTTTTGTTTTTGTTTTTTTTTAGTTTTGGATGTTTAATTTAAGTTATTTTTAATAAAGTAAATTCTAAAAGAGCAGGTGAGGCTGTGGGGTGTTAAATGTGGCACGGGGGTTTGGTGCTGCTGTCCAGGACTGGGATTTCAGAGCTGGGCTCCTCAGGCTGTTGCAAAAACCTGCATCTTCTGTTTGCTGCTCTCTGGAGGAAGATGAAGTTGCTAACGAGCTGATTTTGCCGCAGGGAAGGTCTGGGATTCGGGCAGAGTGGAGCCGATTGGGGAGCAGTGAATGTGCCCTTTGTGTCCTGCAGGATGTTCCCAGGCTCCCTCTCCAGACGTGCCTGTGACGTTGGGGGAGAGCAGCAATGAAAGTCAAATATTGATTTTAAATCGCTTTTCTTTGCTCCTTGAAAACCTTTTCTTTCTCCTGGCCGGTTCCATGGAGTTGCTGTTAAGGCAGAATTAGTTGTCCAGCTCAGTTCCAGCTGTTTTCTGGAGCAGTTGATTATTAGGGAATTAATTTGACTGCTTGCAAACAGGAGTGTGCCTGATAGGCAGCTCAGTGCTTGAGCTGGCCTGGCTTCTGGGAACACCTCTTTGCTTTCAAGGGAAAGATTTTCAGTAATATACCCGAGCCTTCATGTACTCCCAGGCACTTTGGGGTGAAATGAGCTCATCCCTGGAGTCACTGTGCCAGACTGTCAGTGCTGCTCAGGTGTGGGGGTGTTCACAGGGGTCCCAGCATGAGGGAAGAGATGAGGATCTGACTCCATGGTTCAGAAGGCTGATTATTTTATGATATATATTACATTAAAACTATACTAAAAGAATAGAAGAAAGGATTTCATCAGAAGCTTGGCTAAGAATAGAAAAGGAAAATGATAACAAGGGCTTGTGTCTGACCGAGACAGTCTGGACAGCTGGGCTGTGATTGGCCATTAATTAGAAACAACCCCATGAGCCCAATCCCAGATGCACCTGTTGCATCCCACAGCAGCAGATAACCATTGTTTGCATTTTGTTCCTGAGGCCTCTCAGCTCCTCGGGAGGAACAATCCTAAGGAAAGGATTTTCCATAAAACATGTCTGTGACACTCAGGTACAGGGGGGCACAGGGCTCTGATCCTCATGGAGCACAGCAGAACGTTGTGCTGAGATTTTTACCTCTCATCCATGGCAAGAATTGGCTGTTTGCTGAGCTGGATCAGGGGATTTCCTGCAGCTCCTGCCAGCCTGCAGCTCCTTGCTCTGGAGCACTGTTGGCTGGGGCTCTGGTGTCCCCTCCTCTGCCTCCTGGGGCTGCTCTGCTCTCTCATGGCCCCCTCTCCTTTCTCCCCAGGACTTGAAGAAAGCAGGGCTGCTGATCTTTGCTAACAAGCAGGATGTGAAGGAGTGCATGACAGTAGCTGAGATCTCCCAGTTCCTGAAGCTGACTTCAATTAAGGATCACCAGTGGCACATTCAGGCCTGCTGTGCTCTCACTGGAGAGGGGTAAGAGGGATTTGTGTCCTCAGGAGGGGAAGCTGGAATTATTCTGGGGGTTGTATTGTGGTGTTTGTGTTTAAGGCACATTCCTGCCCTGTCCATAATCCCAGAATGGTTGAGGTTGGAAAGGACCTTAAAATCATGCCAGCCCTGGCACGGCAGGGACACCTTCCACTGTCCCAGGCTGCTCCAAGCCCTGTCCAGCCTGGCCTTGGACAATTCCAGGGATCCAGGGGCAGCCACAGCTGCTCTGGGCACCTGTGCCAGGGCATCACGGCTTCATAATCTTGATACTTACAAGATTTTTGGGCTCAGAACACCAAATCTACATCAAACCCACAGTGGCACCTCACAGCAATAAGACTCGATATGATTTGGGTTTAAAGAGGGTGGGATGAGGTGGGGGAAAACTGAAATGTGGTTTATTAAGAATAATCCTAATTAGGGAGAACTTAATGTCTTGAAGATCTGGGATCTGAATTCTCTGGCCATAGATGATGTAATAAGATTGAGCAAATGCCATGCAGGGAGTGAGGCGTTTCCAGAAATGATTGAGAGTTCTTGGGATGAGTTTAAACTCTTGGTGTGCAGTTACCTTAGGAGTTATCCCGAGAAGTGCCAGCATTCCCTGACTGTTGTCTCTGTGTCCCCAGGCTGTGCCAAGGACTGGAGTGGATGATGTCCCGCCTGAAGATCAGATGATTTTTAATGACCTCTTTGCACAGACATTGCTGCAGCAGAGCTGTTCCAGTGGCAGATTGGTGGGGTGGATGTATTTATACTGAACTGATGGCAACTGTATTTTTTACATAGCTGCACACACACACACACACACACACAGACACAGACAGACACACGGACAGGAGCTGGGAGCAGGCACAGAGCACAGGAGCTCTCGGGGCTCCGGGTTGGGTCGGGCTCCTCGAGGACGCGCTCAGAGCTGTGACCAACCTTCTTTCCAAGCTGCCCCTCGGAACAGCCAGCCTCGGGCCTGGGGAGGATGGAGAGAGGGGAAGGAGCTTTCAATGCAGAGTTTTCTGGTCCCATTGTGGCCCTCTCCAGTGGGAGGTGCTGGTTCATTGTCCCAGAAATCAGCGAGCGAATCACTGGCGCAGGGATCGACTCCCCGGCGTTTCTGAGGTGGCCGACGTCACAAAGGCAGAACTCTTTCCCTGTATGTGTACTGTACATATTTGTGTATATTTATACCTCAGTCCTAGGTTAATTGCAATCTGCTCAGCCCAGTGTAAATCAGTATGTTGGCAGTAGTGCTGATCTGTGGCACGGCCACGTCCCCGTGTCGCCCGTCCCTCCGTGTCCGTACGGCTGTAACGTCAATCACACCTGATCAACAAACCCTCTCTTCTGCCCATTGCTTGTTTTTCCACATGATTCTTGGGTTAGGGAGGGGGCTGGAATGGATTGAGGCACACAGATTGAGCTTTGAATTCCAGGGTTGGCAAACAGAACAAATTTGCCAAAGAGCTGCAGATGAAATGGGTTTTCCTTTTTCATTGTGGTCATCATTGGATTGGGTGATGCTGCAGGTCCTGTCCACTGCTTTCCTTCTCTGCTGTGCTGGTTGATTCAGGTCTGGCAGAAATACCTTTGGCTGTCAAAAAGGGAAAAGTATCTTTTCTTTTTCTTAACCAAAGAAGAGGCACAAAAGTATGTTTGAAAGTGTCACTGGAATTGTACAAGTCAGACTCTAATGAAGTGTTTTTCGGAGGAAAAACTCTCTGTGCTACATAAAATGTGCAGATACTAAAATGTGCAGATGTATCAAAATGCAGTGGAGGGGACTGGATGGGGACAAAGCAGATGACACTACTTGAAAAGCTCCAGGTGACCCACACGAGTTCCAGGGCAGAACTCTTGAGAGCAGAGCCCCCTTGCATGGTCCCCAGGCAGTGTGAGAACACTGGGATCACCTTTCCCTGCTGCAGCTCCTGCTGGGATGGCTGTCCCAGGCAGAAGGGGGTCACAATTCCCACTCTGGAGGACCCAGGCAGTTGGGAGGCAATGGCATGGTTGGAAATGTCAGGCTCTTCTGTGGGAGATGCGTTGGGAGTTCAGCAAAATGAAACAAAACTGTGCTTAAAGTGTTCTTCCCTTTCTCAGCCCCGTGCCTGGTAAGGATGGAAAAGGCATTTTAAAGACATTTTAAAGCTTAGTTTGAACTTTTTAAGGTGCTTCTCTTTGGTTCTGGGATAATCTGGTCAGCTCCTGCCTTCCTGCCCACCTGCCTCCCTGGGAGCATGGGAATCCTGGGGAAAGGAGGGGAGGCGATCTCCAAGTCTGTATTTAACAAAGGCAGGTAAAGAATTTAACTTTTTAATCTATTTTTGGTATCTCCAACGCTCCCTGGCTGGGGGATCTGCTGTCTTTGTTAAACATTAAGGTGTACATGCATATATCTCTAGTGCATGCACATAGATCTTGGTATTTAACTGGTGTATTGCAAAATGTATCAATGTTTGAAGAATTAACAATTTAATGCAAAGACTCTCTCAGTTTCTCTGACAGTATCTACAAGCAACGAGCTCTGTGCACACTTGCATATGAAACGGAATTGTACATTTTCTAGTCTGAAAAAAGAAAAAGCAGACTTGCTTCTAAACCCAAGTGTTTGGTTTTTGAGTCTTATGTCTTCCCTGGGCTGAATCCACGCAGGCTGGGTGAGCTGGGGGCTGGCTGGTGAGAGAAGGAGCTGCTGCTGTTGGTGGTGGAGCAGTGCTGGCGTTTCTGCTGCTTGCCCGTGCGTTTGCAGGAGCTCTGTCAGACTGCGCAGGTGTGGGTTGTGTTACAAGCAGATACTCTGTGTTTACACAGCCCTTAGGTTGGTTTTACTCTGTCCCTCCCCGTGCCACTTCCCTTGCTGTGGCCTCTGAGGTTCACCTTGTCTTGGTTTCCCCAGTGGCCACAGCAGGGCCTGGGAGTGCCTGCACACCTCGGGCTGGCTGTCACACAGGGTTTTCTGTGCCCTGGGGGTTGAAAATGCCAACGTTCAATTGTTCTGGGTGTTGGTCAGTGAACAACCCAGTGCTAGCCTGACTGCAGACATCTCCTGGGTCACTGTGAGCTCTCTGTGTGTTTTGTGTTCTTCAGGGCAAATGTGGCCAGAATTCAGCGGTGGCTGATGTTTCCTGACACACTGTGGTGTTGTCAGGGCTTTTGGGGTTTAAATGCTGATTTTCAGTCTGTAGGGATGGTCAGCAGAGGTGACAGTTCCAGATTTACCTGGAGTGGTTGCTGTGATCAATTCCAGCCTCTGTGATCAATTCCAGCCTGTGGGATCAATCCCAGACTCACCTGGAATATTTGCTGTGATCAGTTCCAGACTCACCTGGAGTGGTTGCTGTGATCAATTCCAGGTTCACCTGGAGTGGTTATTGTCATAAATTCCAGCCTCTGTGATCAATCCCAGACTCACCTGGAGTGGTTGCTGTGATCCATTCCAGCCTCTGTGATCATTTCCAGACTCTCACCTGGAATATTTGCTGTGATGGTGCTTTGAAGTGCACGTGTGTGAACTCAGAAATGTTCTAACTTTACTCACCGAGAGGAGCAGCCAAACTTTTGATCTCTCAAGCCCTTTGTGTTGTGTGTAAGTGCTCCTTGTTGACAGCTTTTTCCTTCTCCCTGCAGGGGAATTCCCGTTTTTCTCGCAGCCCAATGCAGGGAGCTTTGCCTCAGTGCTGCTCCCGCTGGGGATTGCTGGGCAGGGTTCCTCACCCTGGCTGGGACCTGGTGTGTGATGCTGCTGTTCCACCCTCGGGGTTCTGCTGCCTTGGCTTCCAGCTGCAGCTCAAGCTTTGCCTTTGTTCTCCATGAAATTCATTCTTAGCAAAAGGGAGGGGCCTTAAAAATGGTTATTGAAGTGATGCTGCAAAATGGCATTTTAGTAGCAAAAAAAAGAAAAAGGTCATATTTCAATAATCTGATATTTCTTTTGGTTCAGAAGATCATCAGTGTGGTAAATCATCTCTGGATATGCTGCTTCTGGCACCTGGGAATTATACAGGTCTTTGATTGTGAGGAGAGGTGGAAAATAAACTTGGGGAATGTGAACAGCTTCATTTTTTAATATCTCTTCTTTTTGGGAGGCTGAGCAGCTGCTCTGCTGAGCACTGTGTAGGTGTGGGATGGTAAATGCACCTGACCAGCACCTTCCACATCTCTGCAGCTCAAGTGCCTAAATCTAATTCCATAATCAGCTTTATTTCCCATTCCCTCAGAACAGAGGTACAGATCTATGAAAGCCTCCCAGTGTGTGGAAGTGAGTGGGTTTTCCCCTCCCCACACCCAAGTTTTAACAGGATTTGTGATAAATTTGTTCCAGTTCTCCTATCCCTGCCATTCCAAGCACTTTTCCATTTATCAGGCATCAGTGAGTTTGGACAGGAAATACTGAATTTGTCCTTGTGTCAGGGTGGTTGGCTGGAATTCCTGTTGAGGGACTTTAAATATCTCAATCCACGAATCCTTGGCCTTGGGAAGCTCCTGGTGGCAGTGCTTCCTTCCATGCCGCCTGGTGGAACACTGAAGTTTGTCACTGTCAGATTAGTTAGGTCTGAAAAGGAATTTTCAGCTAATTGAGATGAATGTGCTGAGCAGCCCTGGGCAGGGCAGGGCTGATCCCGTGGCACCAGGAGTGGCACTGAGGGAGGAAAATGTGGTAATCCAGATGTGGATAATGCAGATGTGGCCTGGTTATAAATCCAGATTGACTTGAATATATTGTAGTGGTGAATACATTAAATGGCCAAAAATGATGAATTATGAGGGATTGCCTCTGTAGCTTTTATTTCATGTGTGAGAATCATGAGCAGGAATTCTCTCCTTGCCTTACCAGTGAATTTTTCTATTGTAGCTTTATCCACAGTGGAGTCCCCTTACCACCCTGAGCCTTTTAAGCCAGACTTTGGGTAAGGACAGAGCTGGGCGGGGTTTTTAAGCTTTTCCTATTTGTAAGTGTACAAAATTGAGAGTGGGTGAAGCCAGAAAATGCTGCTTTGCCTGGGAGGCTGGGAATCCTTCCTTAGACATCTTCAGCTCCGTGCTCTCCTTGTCTGACTGGGGAGGGAAAAGAAAAGCTGGATCCTGTGGAGAGGGTAAAAAATAAACCAGCTCGGGCTGTGGGAAGGGGGTGTGACCCAGGAATGGGGACAGCCCTGGTGTCACTGTGTCCCTGCCGTGTCCCTGCACGTTTCAGCACCCTCGGCTGTGCCCCAGCCCTCGGGGCTGCCTCAGGGTGCAGGGCTGGGCTCGGAGCAGGGTTATGGCCAGGGATGCTCCAGGCAGGGGTTGCTGTGTCCTGGCTGTGCTTGCAGAGGGAGGAACAGCCCCGTGTGCCCACAGCCAGGTCAGCTTTCCTCTCATCTCCTTTGTGCCTCTCTCCCTCCAGACTGTGTCATCTTCCCCAGGAAACGCAGCCAGGCCGTGGCCAACGCTGAGGCTGCAGGGAAAGTCAGTTCAGAATGTATAAAGTGATGAGTTCAGAATGTATAAAGTGATGAGTTCAGAATGTATAAAATGATGAGTTCAGAATGTATACAATGATGAGTTCAGAATGTATAAAGTGATGGTTTCACATCAATCCCGAGCCTCGGGAGGGCTGGCAGCTCCCAGCTGGAGCACCCCTGGGGCTGCACTCACTCATGGGTATTAAAGTCATTTACCCCAAACATTTCATAGAGCTGTTTATTATAGTAAAGGAAAACCAGGATTCTATTAAGCAACTTTTTTTCCCTCCCTGAAATTTGATCAGAGCATTCCTTGAATTGTTTCCCCTTTGCCACTTTCAGACTCTGTTTTTCAAGCAGCTGAAGGGAACTCATTCCATTCTCTTAATTCTTGTTGAAGTGGAGTAAATACAGATTTGGGCTGGGGAGCTCTGTACCATCATATTTATGCATTTATAGATGATGTCAATTGCTAATTCTTTAAAACCTACCAGTATTTATGATTTTAAGTTGAAAACACTTGTAAAAATGTGCCTGTTTGCATTAAACTTTGTGTGTGGGAGTTGCCGTGAAAGTTTTCAAGCCAATATGTGGTTGCTGACCTGCTTTTTGGGGCTGTTTAGGTGTTTTTGGGGTGAAATGTGCTGTTCTGCCCAGCCTGTGATGGAGGGGGTTTGTTTGGGGCAAGTTTGGTGATAAGTCTGTGCTGGTTGGTGTCAAGAATGAGAATTAAAATGAGTGTGAAATGTTGTTTTCCTGTCAGAAATGCTGAATCCCAGGGATGTGCCCCTCTTCCATACCCACATATCCCACACAGGTACCTGTGAGCGCTGGGGGCTGCAGGAAACTTCTCAAAAAGCAAAAGAGATGGAGCCAAAGCTGAGTTGGGAGATCAAATTCCCAGATTTGTGTCTGTGGGCTGGATGTGGCACTCAGTGCTCAGGGCTGGGTGCCAGGGGGGGTCGGGCACAGGTTGGACTTGGTGACCTTGGAGGGCTTTTCCAGCCTTGGTGATCCCTGGGTTTGTAAAGGGAGTTCCTGAACAGCTCTGCAGCCCCACCAGCCCTGGGTGGGCATTTGGGGCTCCTTGGGCCCCTTCCAGCTGCAGCAGCTGCATCCATGGGGTGATCCCATGGGATGATCTCCTTAGGTCCTTTCCAGCTGCATCCATGGGTGATCCCATGGAATGACCTCTTTACATCTTTTCCAGCTGCATCTGTGGGGTGATCCCATGGAGTGACCTCCCTGGGTCCCTTCCAGCTGCATCCATGGGTGATCCCATGGAATGAGCTCTCTGGATCCTTTCCAGCTGTATCTGTGGGGTGTTCCCATGGAATGACCTCTTCAGATCCTTTCCAGCTGCATCCATGGGTGATCCCATGGAATGACCTCTTTACATCTTTTCCAGCTGCATCCATGGGTGATCCCATGGGATGACCTGTTTAGATCCTTTCCAGCTGCATCCATGGGTGATCCCATTTAATGGCCTCCTTGGGTCCCTTCCAGCTGTATCAATGGGGTGATCCCATGGGATGACCTCCTTGGGTTCCTTCCAGCTGCAGTAGCTGGATCCCATGGAATGACCTCTTTAGATCCTTTCCACCCCATGATCCCATGGCATGACCTCCCTGTAAATAACGCACAGAGTTCTCGGAGTTGTGGGGAATGAGGAATTGCAGCAAACCCCCCTGCTGGGATGGGGCAGGAGATGCCAGAATGCCTTTGCACATTCCTTATCCTCCCACCTCCGCTTTGGCCGTGCTTGGAGCTGTTTCCTTTGGGACAGGCTGGGCTCTGCAGCTCCTCCCTGGAGCTGCTGCTCTGCCTGCCCAGAGGGGCTGGGGCTGCCCTGGGTCCCTGCAGTGTCCAGGCCAGGCTGGACACTGGGAGCACCTGGGGCAGCGGGAGCTGTCCCTGCCATGGCAGGGAGTTGGAATTCAATGATCTTTAGGGCCCCTTCCAACCCAAAGCAGTCTGGGATTCCGTGGTTCTCCTGGGACATTTCTGTGGCGGTGAAGGAATGCTGAGCTGCCTTAAAGCCAGGTCCTTTCCTGCCTGTCCCTCTTAACTCCATCATTCCTTGACTTTGATAGAACTTCTGAAAACTGCTTTCAGTTTTCCTTGGAATCCAGTGGAATATTAGGTGATTAAAAGTGAAGCCACCGTTCTCACACTTTATTTTTGTCTGGTTTAGCCCAACTGTGCATTCCTTGGGCCTTTGTGCCTGGTGTATGGAACTGTGAATAGGCTTTTGAACAGAAACTGTTACTTTTTGGCTCTTTTTTTTGAGTGTAAAAAGAAGTTAAGACTGCTGACTTTTCCTTCATTGTTATTTTTTTATTAATACATTTTAATTGATTTAACAATTAATACTTTCTTGATGCTATTACCATTTTTTAAATTGCAGGTTGTGTCGCTCCTCTCTTGTTGCACAGTCTGTATGGAGTTATTCTGAATGTTTTTATTATAATATGGGGATGAACTACATGTAAAGCTACAGAATAGTCAACAATACTGACAATAAATACAGTTTAATTCTTGTCATTTTTCAGTTCTGATTGGTTTTACCTTCATTCTTCAGAACTGGAAGGGTTTTTTCTCTCTTTCAAATATATGTATGTATATATATGTAGGCAACTTGTGGGGTCATGCAAAAAGGTCATGCAAATTTCCTTGGGAAATGAAGGAAATTAAATGAAAATGGTCTAAATTTTTGTACAGAAATAAAGATTCAGTGTAAATGTTGAAGAGTTCTGAGGGAGGGCCTCGTGCTGTGGGATCCTCACGGATGTTGTGTCATTTTTGTGTGTTTGGCTTTG